ATAGAAGATAAACAGCTTGTTTCAGAGCCCTCAGGAATTCTTAGGGAGTCATATCATTCACGAATGGTCAGTATAGGGAAAGAATAACAAAACTCAAGAACACCAAAGAATGGATGAGATGGTCTGTGTTAAAGAAGTGACCTTACTGTGTTCTCAGAGTCCCAAAGAAGGACTGCTTTTCACGGTTAGGAGGAATGAAAAATCAAAGATTTACCAATGGGCAGTGCTTTTGAGGAATAAAATTTGACTTACTTTAATTATACTTTGTGATTCAGATTTATGAATGTAACTACTTTTGACAGTGGATGGTGACCAAAGTATTTTTAATTTTAAAAGTTTTATTCCATGGGTCATATAATCAGCATTTTATAAAACTGGTACCAAATTAGAAATAATCCAGCATACTTTAAAATACTGAATATTACAATGTATTCACTTTCTTTTTTTTAATAGATCAAACATACGCAAGCATTGAATAGAAAGTGGGCTGAAGACAACGAAGTTCAAAACTGTATGGCCTGTGGGAAAGGCTTTTCAGTTACAGTGAGACGGGTAAGCAGTTTTATTCATATAGCTACATTTCTAGATTTCTTTTTATAGTGACAGTAAAAGTTTTAACCATCAAAGTAGCCCTGCATTTAGCAGATTTAAAAATTTTTCTATTTATTGGAAAACTTTTATTTATAACTACATGGAATAATTGAGCTTCAGGAGGTCTTGTTTTGACTAGCATATATGTTTGAATTTTAGTTTTAAAATCAATCATTGCCTTCCTGCTGAATTATTCTCTGGAACATATCCTGAACCAGTTCACCAGTATTAAACTCATATGGTTTAGTCATCATTGAGTTTTTTTAAAGAAAGAAAAGGCAGATTAAAAAAAATGTATTCTTGAAAATAGCGTCATGTGAGGACTGAAGTTTATATTTCTTTGAAAACATTATGCTGAAACATTTGGAAAATGGGAATCATTTTTTATTTGATAGGACTATTTTTTAAAACATTTTTGAATGCATCCTAGGATTCTTTTGAGAATTCTAAGATGCAATTCATATAGAATATTTATCATCATGGTTAACAAGTAGAAAGCATTTATTTTAACAAAAAGATTAAGGTAACATTGAAATACGTCACTAAACAATACACCAGTCACTCAAACGTTAATATACTTTTACAGTGTAGTTTGCTATATTCGTATAGTTTCATATACTTTCCATATAATTTTATGCTTGAAAGTGTTTCTTCTTTTATGTCGTTTATAGCATCATTGCCGACAGTGTGGGAATATCTTCTGTGCTGAGTGTTCAGCCAAAAATGCCTTAACTCCTTCTTCCAAGAAGCCTGTTCGTGTCTGTGATGCATGTTTCAATGACTTGCAAGGATAATGGATTATCACAACTTCAGAGTAATAGTACACTAACAATAGATTTTTAATAAATATACTTAATAGAATTCATGGACTACTGTTTGATTGGGACAGTGGTTGCCACACTAGACCAAATTAGAATTCGTATATTTTGCAATGTTATCAATATCAAGTAAAAGTCTTCTATTTTTGTGAGACTTGGGCTCATCTTTCATTACTTTTTTTTCATTTAGCCGCTAGAACAGCTTTCATGCTAAGTTTAAAATCAGCCAATGAAATGTAAATAAACTTTGAACAGAAAATAGCAATGTATTTTTTTAATATAATTTCATTGTTCATAATGGTGAATTCCATAGCTTGTTTTTCCCAGTTTTAATATACAGAAATATACATGAATGATGTTATCACTTATTGCTGTTTTTGTTGCACAACACATTAATCATATTAAATATTATCTTTGTGGAGTCATGCACAAAACTGTAATAATTTCTGGCTACCTTTTCCTCTTATACATAGGTTCACAGCTCAGTTATATTATGTAATAAATTTACTACTTGGGTGTTCTAAATATAGTTCATGTCAAAATCTGTATTAAACATGAATTTTAACTTGGTTTTTGTTTTTAACAATATTGATTAAATTCTCGGGTACATTTTATGAGAACCTCTGTAAAATTAATTTGTGTACTTTATGGTTATCCTGGGATTGTATTTTAAAGTTAGGGTTAATATTCTTTTTTCTTTTTGTATTTTTCTGTATCATTTTCTAACTCCCACATAGTGTCTATTAAAAATACTACAAAACTTCCTACCCTTACCCTCAGCTGCAGGATGAATATTAGACACTGTGTAATGGTCCTATTCTTGTTTGTTTGTAATTGGGGAGTTTTCTGAAACTAGCCTTCTTATCATACCCTTCTTTTTTCTCTCCATCATCTTTAGGAAAGTGAGTTTGCCTTTTTTAATGGATCTGTTTTCCCTTTTCTTGGCTTAATCTTTCCAAGCATAGCTCAGCTTCATTGTAATTGTTTCATATTTTCCACCTTAAAGCTAGTAATTAAATTGTAATAGTTGTATCTATGAAAACAAAATAAGAAATGGTAAGAAGATATTAAATATTCTGCTTTATATTTTCTTCTAAAAATTTTTAAAAAATTATACAATTGACTTAAGCTTAAAATCGTTCTGGGTTGGATTCCACATCAACTGGGAATACTTTTTTATATATAATGATATAAAAAATTACCTTGAAGTAACAGCTGGAGAATAGAGCTTCACCCAAAACATTTATATTTAAAAAAACTCAAAATTGCCATAAAGACTGAAACTGAATAGCTAAGCATCTTAAGAATAATTAAGGATCAGCCAACTTGAAGGCTAAACGATTTAACTGAGCATTAATTTATCATAATTTTGTTGATTTGAAAAAGTGGAAAACATTGAAGAATCATTAATATTTGTTTATTCATTGTCCAAGGAAAGATATGGAAAATTATACATTAATTTAATGCAATCATTTAATAACAATAGCCAAGGATGGGAGTTAATATTTCATTTACAATAGTTTATAATGTACACTTTCAAATATTGCTGAAATGAAATTATGTCTATGCTATATCTAGGATATATATAAACTAATGGAGATTGTCACATACTTATTTCATTATTTAAAAAACATTTTAAGTAAACCATGTTGTCAATAACTATTGACACTGATTAAGTTCCAGGATTTGGATAAACATATATTCTTGAGCATATATAATAAAGAAATACAGTGGCTCTTTATCAAAAATAATAGTTGGATAATATAACCTAAGATGTTTTATGCTTTTTGTATACTTATAGATCCTTTCAAATAGTCTTAATTCTATACTTTTACATTTATTTAATAAATTAAATGTATTAGAAAATCAAAGATACTCCCAGCACCACTGTATCGTTTTGTTTTTAAGATAAAACTTAACGAGAATTCTGGATTAGAATATCTGTTCTCATCTCCTAATTGGATACACTACAGGAATTTCCTGGTAATCCCCACCCCTCATTTTCATATACACACACACACAAATTGTGGACACACAAATAAAACCATGTGTGTTTGAGTGATTTTTTCTTGTTTTTTTTTTTTTTTATACAAGTAATCTGATTTCATATGTCCTGAATAATTTATGTACCTTAGGCTACTATACTGATCATACAAAAAATGAAACCTGATGTTTTCACTGTTAATTTTCTTTAATTTAATATGTTTTGGAAATAAAAATTAAGTCCCCCCCCCCCCATTTTAATTAAGAAGTCCTCTTCTGAGTTATTGTTGGCTATATAGTTTAGATGTTTGTTGGTACTATTATTTTGTTGGTGAGTTAGAGCTGACACATATGGAATCCCAGCTCTTGGCTCTAATGTAAAACATATTGACATCACGTTAGTAAATTGCAAACTCCAGCACAGGAATGTGAGTTAAAACCAAGTCTTGCTTGGTAGTTAGAGTAAGATAAACCTACAGAATTTTTTAATAGAAAGAAGACAAAGCTGCTAGTATAGGACTTGCTCATTTTGAAGGAAAAAGGGAACAAACACAAAAACCTCAATGAAGTATACAAATAACATTTTGTTCAACTACCTCTTAATGTGGAGTTAGCCAGTTTAATAGTTTCTTTACAGTAATGTTAAATAGTAACTGCCAAATTTGTTGTTTTCCCATCCTTCAAAAAGTCTTTATGATTGTTTTATATAGTTCTGAGAATTTCAAAGCCACTTTTTTAACTTTGCATTTGCATAAAAATGTTTAGCTTTTAAGTGAAGAGCAAATTATGATCATATATTTTGATATTCATGACCTGTTTGACTAGCAATTTTTTTTTTGAAATGCACTTTGGCTATAAAACCATGGATGATTTGATCCATAGATTTAATAAATGTGCCATCAATTTAGTATTCCTGGACATGAGCTTGATGAATGGTATTCTGTAATTTTAATGTGCCACACATTATCATGTCTTAATTGCCCTTTGCCTGAATTTTAATGATCAATTTGTTATTGTTGCAGATGTGAATATTGTGCATAAACTTACTAAATTTATGTAAAATTGTATAAAATAGAATTGGGAATCACTAGGTCCTTTTTGTGTAGAAGTAAAGAATTTATTGTAAAGATGATACAGTTATGTATATGACATTCTGTACTTCCTTGAACTGGATCATATGTTCATAGCTTCTGTACATACTTTTGCATGAGTATTTTCTTCTTTGGTTTTTAGGTTCATTATTTGTATTGTGTTTACTTCTTGTGATCATGTAGTTTGTGCCTTACTTTGTGAGAGAGTTTAGCTCAGTAAATACTGCAATTTCTAAGCTCAGTGATTGGAAGGTCATTGATTATGAGTGTAACTGATGAATGACAAGACAGCATTTAAATCTGTATAAAGAATAATGGAAGGATCCTTACTCAATTGTTGCTTTTGTGTTTTTTTAATATGTTAAAGATAATATTAAAAACATTTCTTTCTAGTAGATATATTCTGTGACTAAATTATTTTGCCCATTTGAAAAAAGAGAGCAAGATATTAACCATTTTGCATGAGTTTATTTACTTAGTGTTAGGATTTTGCACTTGTATATAGACAGTAGTTACATTTTGATGTTATTCAACTTAGAATAATAATTAAGTTACTTATCACGAAAAAATTTACTAATGTCATTTTGTCTGAGTGATTCCCTTTACATACCATTTAATTTTATGGAGATTAAGAAAACTCAAAAGAAATATCAAAAAATTATGCCTCATTTCATTGTGTATCCAAGCTTAATATCCAGGTGAGTATTTAAAGATATTTGGTTTTTTTTTTTTTTTTTTGAAGGCTCAATGTACCTTTTTTTTTCCAGGGGAAATCTAGATTCCAGAATGCCCCTCCCCTACTTTCATTCTAATGTGCTTTCCCTAGAAGAACTAATATGCATGCTTTTGAGCATGTAATATATTGTATATTAGGTCTGTTATTTTGAGGTTTGTAGAGTTTCAGTTTATAGAAGTCTTGAGCTGCTCTTCATCCTTTATGTTAATTTAGTAACTCTCTCCCTTTAAGAAGATTCAAATGGAGAAAATTAGTTCTTTAAAATTACATAATTATGTAGTTACTAGACTTGGACTAAAGAAGTTGGAGGGATCACATAGTTCCAGTCTATTGCTCTCCTCCTAGGTTCGTTTGCAGCTAAAAGTCCCTACAAGAGACCTAATTTTTTTCTAAAAATACTTATTTTAACCAGAAATTTCTTTGTAAATCTTTTTTTTCATAAATCTATACTGTCTTCCACTGAACATTATTGCTTACAGTCCTTTCTCCCTTTCTTTGGCTACCCTACTTCATTTACTGTAATCTATTAGCAATAGTTACAGTTTTCCAAATTTTCCTTTTATTTTCTCTTACTCCTAATACCTGACATTACTGAATAGAAATTATGATTCTCCATTCTGGTAATGTCTTGCCCCACACAGTCTTTGTGCTGCACTTGTGTCTACTACTTTGTTTTCACATGAACTTCATGTCTTCCTCAAGAAATTAACTGTCCAAGTAACTTCCCTAAATGTCACTCTTTCTATCCTCTTCTTTAGCTTTAAGAAATCAGTTAGGTTTCAATTGTCTTAGGTGTCAGTTGTCTTACAGCCAATTATGATTAAATTTATTACTTCCAAAGGTACCATTGCCAAAGGTACCATGCCTGAAACTGAAGTGTGTAGACTTCCATTGATTAAACACCTGACCTTAAGAAATAGTTCTTTAAATGCAGTTAAAATAACACCTCCTGCCATGATGATACAATACATCAAGCTGTCTCTCTTGATGAAAATACTAATGAAGTTTTAATTCCTGCCAAATAAAATTAAGTGATTATATTGTGCGCGTACACACACACACACACATATGCACATACACACTCAAAACCAGAAAGTATTATTATGACAAACACCATCAGTCTTTGAAAACTGAAGTTAACAGAAAGATATCTTACTATTTCTTTGAAAATATTCCAGTAAAAGTATTAACTGATGAGCGTGGAACAAGTATTTGTTTTTTTTTTTTTCTTAAATAAAATAGATTTAGTCCTTGGAGATTTCTGCTTACAAGTTATAGCATTATAAAGTATACCTGAGATAAGTCAACTGTTGGAGAGTGGGAATTTAAAAACTGCTGTTAAAATGGAGACCTTATTTATTGTGTAGTATATTAATAGAACAATCAAACATTTTATCAAAAGAATTACCGTTGCATTTGAGGTAGGACTGTAAAGCAGTAAGACTGATTGACAAGCCATGTAGGAAAATTGGTTTCATTATTTTTTCAGATACACACAAAGTAGGATGCTAGAATTCATACTGGACACAAGTAATAGACTTTACTTTCCTTTAGATGCTCATTTATATGACCAATGACCCTTTACAAATTGATTTAGCACCATTCTTCACTTGTAACTCATACAACCCTAACTGAAATATTAGAAGGAGGTCTGCTTATCAGTGCAGTCATCCTTCAATATATATAGGCAGTTTGTTTCCAGAACTCACTGGATACTGAAATTGTAGTGTATGGAATTTGAGAAAGTAAGAGAGGATTAGGGTTTGTATATAGCCTATGTACATCCTTAGGATACTTTAAATCCTCTCTAGATGACTTTTATTATACCTAATACAATGTGAATGCTATGTAAATGGTTGTTTTACTGTGTTGTTTAGGAAATATAACAAGGAAAACGGTCTGTACATGTTCAGATGAGATTGGGCACGTTCAGGGTGGTATGGCTGTAGACTGTACACATTCAGTACAGATGCAATTTATTATTTTTCCATCCAGGGTTTGTTGAATTCATGGATGCAGAACCCATGAATATGGAGGACTGACTATAGATATTTGTCAAGAAATTCCTCAAAGTTCAAATTTGTTGCAGTCATTATTCCTCTATACCGAGGACTTTCTTTGCTCAAATTCTCAAATTCTGCAACTCCTTTAAAATGCACATTTCCTTCTAGTTCATCACTAGGTGAGTGTTAACAGAAGCTTGAATGAAAGAATAACTTAAGCCCTACTCTCTAAAAAGGTGTGTCACTTGTTTCATTCCTTAAATTTCAGAGGATTCTGAAGGCAGCGTGTACGGAGATATTTTCTTGGTTTCCTGACTCTTGGTAAAGGAAGAGATTGCTGCTGTTATTTGTGCCATCCACGTTTTCTATTGAAAAAAAGAAAAATACATATAAAGGAGTTAGAATATGAAATAATTTCCCACATTTGGATTAATATTTTCCATTATATTTACTGAATTGCTCTCTGAAATTTAAGACTAATGAAACATTTGAATATGTTTCCCATTTTCTCTCTCACGTCTAATATGAGTACTCTAATGATACAGGAAAGAGCAAATGGATTACATGAGTATGGGATACAAGTTGAAAAAACAGGAGTAATCACGAAACCATGATAATCAGTGATTACTAATTAGCAAAATGAGTACTAAGAACATAAGCAATTGGAAAGTTGAATTTCTTGAATTTCCACTTTGGGAGGAAACAGAAGTTCTGAACCAGTACAATAATTTGAAAGACAGGCTCAGAGGAAGGTGACCCTGGAAACTGAGTTCTGAAGAGGAATGCAATCCTGATTTATTGTCTTGCCATGTTGTTGCTATGATGAAAGCCTACCAGGGAAAGACAAAACATAGATACTTCTAAGATAGAGAAACCTGTTAAGGAGCTGCTCTGTTACCTCTGTAACTGTCAAAACAATGGCCTATTTCTGAACTTTGAAAAGCAGGCTTGGAGGGACACATTATGGCACAGGCCCTCACGTAAGCTGATAGCACGTAATTTGCACTTTGGAAATTGATTGGAGCCTCTTAAAAGTTAATTGTGCAATCCAAAGTAGTTCTCCCCCATTTCCTCCAGAATTGCAGAACTCAGAGGCAGCCCTCGAGCTCCTGTGGTGGGAGAGCTCGACGGGCTATATGAACATCACCAGTGTGAGGACATTGTCAACTCTGAGGTTTCGGAGCACGATCTGGACCAGACGTCTCCCTCTCCACCTCCCAGCTTCTGCCCTTCCCATAGCAGGTAAGGGAAATACACACGACTCCAGTTCACCATTACTGAAGAGGCTTGGGGGTGAAATTTTGTCCTTATGTAAACTGAAGAACCCAAGACCTATAAAATAAAAATACATACTTTGATGTTTTCCGTTTGGGCTTGTAATAAGAATGCTGCAATACACTGTCGGTATCTGTTTTCATGTTGTATAAGAAAAGCATTTCTCAGCCCAAAGACTAAAAAAAGACATGACAAAGACAAAAAAAAAAATCATTTAATAGGAAATTCAAACAGTTTCTTTTTTTTTTTTTTTTCAAACAGTTTCTTAATAGAAGAACCCAAGATTTGTTTTGTGTTTTGGTGTTTTGAAGGTGGGAGGTTTAAATAGCTTACAAAAAAAAAAAAAAAATCTGATTCCAAAGCCAAGGCTTAATTGCTATGTCCAAAACGGTTTCCACTTTTACATGAAAACTCTTCCTTCCTTAGCTAATGACTTCTGGGATAAGATGAAAGGTAATTATGGCCTGTGTGAAGGAAAATAGGCTTAGTAGGTCGTGTGTGTGTGTGCATGTGTGTGTGTGAGTGTGTGTGTGTTTGAGAGAGAATACAGATAGTAAAAACATGGAAAACAGTTTTCTTTTTTGTCTCTCACCATTCCCTTTTTAATCGTATATTTTTGTGTTTAAAGTGAAGCAACATGAAAACAAGGTCTAGAAACATAAAGAGGGGCCAGCACTGTGGCTCAGCAGGTTAATGCCCTGGCCTGAAGCGCTGGCATCCCATATCGGCGCCGGTTCGAGTCCCGGCTTTTCCACTACCCATCCAGCTCTCTGCAATGGCCTGGGAAAGCAGTGGAAGATGGCCCATGTCCTTGGGCCCCTGCACCCACATGGGAGACCCGCAAGAAGCTCCTGGCTCCTGGCTTCGGATTGGCACAGCTCTGGCCGTTGCGGCCAACTGTGGAGTGTCCATCAAATGGAAGACCTCTCTCTCTGCCTCTCCTCTCTCTGTATAATTCTGACTTTCAAATAAGTAAATAAATCTTAAAAAAAAAAAGAAAGAAACAAAGATATGGCAAAAATACAAACCACCTGAATGCTTTTCAGCAGACCAAGAGAAGTCAAAATATCTGACAAATAAAATGGAACATCCACCAATTTATGTGAAATGCAAAACAAAGCAAAAAGGCACATTGGCCTGGTTTCTGTGTTGGCCAAAGAAACAGTCTGTTCTGTCACTTCCTAGCTGGTCTTAGAGAAATTACAGGAGATGCTGGGAGAACAGGGTCCTTTTTCTTTCCAATATAGCAAGGACTCTTAAAATGAAAATCTCTTCCTTGAATTATTAATACAATACAGGGAATGAAATTCTGCAGGGCATGCCATCTTTCTACAGTTGAGTGATGTTTAGAAACAAGTAAAAATCCACCAGGGCTGTCTCCCGGTTCTATCAAGTACTTCAGGGAGATGCTAGGGAGCAAGAGACTTTCATTATTGGCTGATCATTAAGCTGATGCATCTAAACTGATGAAGTTTGTGAGTTTAACTCAGACTTATCTGAGGAGGTCAGGCTTCCTTTTAGAGTCAGAATAAATGCCAGGCTTTTATCTTCTTAACTGCAAGAACTATTCCAGCATCACAGATTATAGTCGTAACATTCTAAATCTCATAATTCCTAAATTCTACCACAATGAATAATGTCTGTTAAGGCCAGGTCATGAAATTCTTCCCGGCATCCTTGGGATGAAAGAACTTACACCTATTAAAATGGCTTTCTGGAAAATAGATCTGGCTGTGTTTGTTTTACTTCCTGATTTTTCTCCTTATAAATTCTCTGTAGCAAGGTTATTGTTCTTGGCTGGTTTTAAATCTATTCTCCTCAGAAAGTGGAACTGTAGTTCTCAGTTATTCAAGGTCTCCCTCATCCATTTGGTTTGTAATAGGTTAAAAAGGACTTTACCAGCAAAAAGACTTGGTAAGGCTGCCTTGTAAAATGCAAGAAGAAGATATTCTATGGGTAGGCACAGTTCTTTATTCCCCTGACATCTACTATAATAATTAACTCCTATTTTTAAACATTCACTATGCACTAGGCACCATGCTGTTTTTTTTTTCCCTCTCCATTTTGTGTCACTTAAACCACATAGCAACCGTTTAAGATAGGTCAGCTAATTGGGAAACAGATTGATTTTTCCAAATTCACATAGCTTGTCAAAGATCTAGCTGGCATCTGATATTGGTACTGTGTCACTCCAATGCTCAGTCTCTTTCTTTGGTCTCCATTTACTGTTTTCCACTCAACAGCTATGGTGGCTCATGGACTGTATGTGAGCAGTCAAGTAAGAGACCAGAGGAATGAGAAAAATACACAGAGAAGAGAACAAAGCATGGCAGTTTCCATCAGAAAACAAGAAGTGGAAATACATATTTTGTAAAGGGTATCATTTCATTTATTTATTTATTTATTTTAAAAAGGGGGAATAGAGAAAAATGATGTACTCTCCAGGGTACTGAGCTCTCAACCGAACTGCTCCCACCGCTCCTCCTGGGGGCTAGTGTGTGCCCTCCATACAAGTCCATAGATCATACCAGAATTTCGCCCTAGAGAGACAATAAATTCCTAGCATGATCTTTGCCTTTACTATGATCTTTTTTTCTCATGAAAAAGTAAATGGAATAAAGAAATCACAAAGGGGAAGTGACTTTTGGACCTCCTGTCTAAAGCTCTGCCGTATCTACTCTCCTCTGCCAGCCCTTGAACCTGGAGGAGGCTCCCACTGGATGTGGGTGCACTCCCACAGCAAATGTCTCGTAACCCAGACATATCCACTTCTAGACTTGCTCGGAAACTCTCCGGCATATTCAGACTGTGGCCTACAGAAATTAGGATTCATGTCAGCCAAATTAAATACAAGAGGCCTTTAGGCCTGTCCGTGTCACCTTTGAGTAAATCTTGATGTTGGCTTTTTGTGTTGTGCTCTTGAGGAGACAGGTTGCATCCACTCACAAGCTAATATAGTAAAGCACATAAATATGTCACTTAGTTCTGTAATGACTATATGCTTGCTAGGATGACTCACCTGTACAGTCATTCATTCATGATTTAAGGTTCTTGTACTATGTACAGCTCCCTCCTAGATTTGTTACTGAAGCTCTGCATCTAGATGCTTGGTTGGGAATTGAGGGAAATAGTGATTGCCTCCTCCTTTGTTGTTCCTGCCTTGGGAAGCTCCTGCCTGGCCTCAGCTGGTCTAGGAGCTTCTATACAGAGGGACCATCTGCTTCCTCCTGAACACTCTAACCACTCACTTACCCTGAAGAGCTGACACGGCCTGTAAGTCCCTCAGAGGCCCAGGGTTTTCCTGACAGAGAATTTACTGATCTTTCATTATTCCCTGAGCTCCCCTACAGCAAGTGCTGTTTCTCATTCATCTTTGGATCATCAGGGTCTGCTGAGTACCTGGCTCTCAGGAGATACTCCAGAAATACTTGAATAAAAGATTAAAAATGATGACTATTTCTGATGTATGCATATGTATGTGAGTGTGTATATATATATATATATATGTGCATGTTTTATAGAGTGATTGTGATAAAGTATGTTTTCATAGCATGTTGTGATTTCTAGTGCCTTAACAATAGCAAAAGTACTAATAATGAAACTATAATAATAATTGTTTTAAGTTATTTAACACATTATTTCATTGAATTCTCACAAAAACCCACTGAAATAGATATTACTATCTGTATTTTACCAAGAAGAACCTGAAGCTTAGAAAACTTAAGGGCCTTGCCTGAGGCTGCGGGGCTAGTAAGTAGCAGAACTGAGTCACCCAAGCATTGGACACCATGACTCATTTGTAGAGTGAATGATATATAGACACATAGGAACACAGTATTTTCTTTTATGAAGACTTAAATTGGAGTCATGTCCTGCTACCATAAAAGATCAATATAAAACTCAGTGATGGCAAACAAAGGAGTTGAAGGATGAAAATAGATACCTACCTGACATGTGGAGTGGATCAATACTTTTGACCACCAATCTGTCTAGTGGAATGGGCTGATCAAGTACTGTACACGAGCCACCCTCTTTTATAACTGTTTGCAATTCAGGAGTAAGTGAAGGACACATTAAACCAGTATCCAAGCCTCCAAGTTTCTGAAATTAAACAGGAAATTAAAGCAAAAAATAGGTAATAAATATTTGTGCATATACCTAAAGTGTATCGTTAAGTAAACAGATTCTTAGACACTTGAATTCTATCTTACTATTCTCTCTGGATCTTGAAAAGCATCTCCCCATAATTTAAAACAAAGAATTCTGATCTCTAATTTAATGACCATTACAAATAATGGTTTTTGTTTTTATTTGGAAAGCATTTTAATTACCCTCACATCAGTTGGAAGATCTTTATTCCCTGTATCTTAATCTCTAGCACAGAGTTAGATGAACGAGAAAAGGAAAACTTATTTTGGCTAACTCTATGCTTTTGATTCTAATACTAAACTCTACTAAATGGATTGCATGCCACTGGATTTGTAGATAACTGTAACTGTTTTATACATATAAGATGCTGATGTTTTTTTCAAATAATGAAAGATTGTGATCTGCAAGATATACACAAAATAGCAAAGAAGAATGTAAACTGATAACATTCCTTATTTTGGAATCAAGCTATGAGTCAAGCTATGAAGCATGAAATCAGGAATATTGCTTTATGATATAATCAATATGGGCTGCCACTAATTCATGTGCTCTGATGTGTACCATTATTTGAACTTGACTTATTCAGACATGTTAATTTGAGTGGCTTAAAATAGGAGACCATAGAGATTCTAAAACTGACTCAATATTCTCCGACACCCATTTCCTCCCCAGCCACTGATCACCTATTCATAGACTGACTAATGGGTGTCTATTTTATTGCTTAAGAATTTTGAATTATTTAACTCAACTAGCTTATTAAAAGATATGAGATATTTTGTTTTGTGATCTCATAATCTGGGTAAGGCTAATTATTGGGTAAAGAAACATGTAGAATAAAACATTAGATATCTCTCAAGGCTTACAGCACTACAGTGTAAGGGCAGGTGTCTGCAAGTCTTAGAGGAGCCTCCCTTCCTAATACCAATATTGACAGAGTTGTTTGGGTTTCCTTTGCTTAGGGAAGTCAGGCATACCTTGAAAGTGCAGCCTCAGTTATTCTAAAAATATGCATCTCATCCTTGACATCCTTCAGAAATGTAACTTGTTTCTGTCTTTGTTTTAAGTTGAGAGCAATAGGACTAAAAAGCCAATATTTTAAAATGCTTCCATTTTTTTAAAGGGTGAGCTCCAATTTGATGTATAAGAATATTTTTAACACAACTTACCCAGAAATATCTTAAAACACTCAGAGACTTATGAATACTTGTAGTACCATTTTACCTTTTTGTTGCGCTTGGTTTTCGTAACTAAGAGGAAATCATCAAAGAGAAAGAGATAAACATCCAGGAGTCTCGTGCTTTCTGCGGAAAGAGAAGGTAAAAGGGGAACTTGAAGCAGTGAAATGGCAGCTTTGTTTTTGAAACGAAAGAATCCCGCAGGAAGTAAACCGTAAACCGGAGCAGGTAGCACAGCTGAGGGAGGTCCAGACATGGGGATCAGAAAACTGCTTGTGCTGATCTTGGATGGATTTCTTCCTAAGAAAGAGTCTTAATGTAACTTCAAGCTCCCAACTTTAATGACATTGGATTTGTGTTACATTTCATGTGGATCTAAGACAACTTGGGTGATATTTGTAACCGTTTTAATTAAGCCCAGGAGACCTCCCATCAACAATTGAACTGGCCGGATTTTTGCTTCTTGACTCGTCTGGGTGGTCACTGCCAGAGGCACACATTAGCAGACATGAGGCATTTTGTTATTGCTGTGTACTGAATTGCATTAACTATCGAAGCCCTAACTTTGAGAGCTTAGACATATGAAGTGTTGTGTGGCTGCATTTGGAGTAAGAAAGTAATTAAGGTAAAATGAAGTCATAAACGAAGAGCCTTGACCCATAGGATCTGTGTCCTCAAAAGAGGAGACACTAGAGAAGTCTCCCTTCTGCCATTGAGGACACAGCAAGCCAGGAAAAGAGCCCTTACCAGGAACTCAGCAGCACCTTGACCTGGCACCTTCTGCCTCTGGCCTGTGAGAAAAATTTCTGTTGTTTGAGCCACCTCATCTATGATAATTTGTTTTAGCAGTTCCAGTTGACTAAGGCTGCTGTTAACACTACTATGTCACATGTTTTTTATTCTCCCCAAAGTTTTGCAAACAATTCTGAAATCACTTTTGATAGTTAAGCAGATTGGCTTTTCTACTTTTCTGTAAAGATAAGAGTGGTAGAAGAGAAATCAAACATCAGATAGGTGTTTTATGCCTTAATTTTACATTATTTCTGAAAAATTAGAAAAAGCAACAGTTAAATTTAAGTGATTTCAGAGGAAACGGCAATCTGTTTAGAGGGGGATGTAGCAAGTGTGTAAATATGAGAAAACTCATAAAAATTCTTTAGCATTTTATTTATTTATAGTATCATAGAAGTTCTTTTTTGTATGCTTTTAGTAGCTTTGGGATCCACAAGGAGAGAAGACCTATACTTCCAGGAATGGAGAGTCCCTACCCGCACTTCCAGGGAAGAAAAGTCCTTGTCAAGGTCCCCGCAGGTCCCTAAAGATCCACCAATGAGGATCAGACCTGCCTCAACCTTTAACCCCCATGCCCTGTATCTATAAAAGGAGCCCTCCCAACCTCTGATGCGTGACTTCCCCCCACACCTCCCTCTATTGCTCTTTTGGGACCGGTGAACCTTGCCCGGGAGCAGAATCCCAATAAAAGCCTGTGAATTAATTGATTCGTCTGCCTGGAAAGATTTGTTACAAGCCGGACACCTTACACTTTTACTCTTAGAAGCTAAGTGGCGAAGATTAAATAGACAAAATATTTAGGATTTATTTCTATCTCTTCTTCTTTAGAGGGAAGATTTTTCTATATTTGCACAGAAGAGAAATCAGATATTTGATTCAATTTGAGCAGTTGAATATTTTTAACAAACTGTATTCCATCAGTTTTAGAAGCCTTCCTCTTCATAAATTGAGTGATGGCAAAAACTGCTGGTTGTCCTCCCAAAACCATTCTCTTGTTCTGTAGTAATAAAATTCCTCAGTTTTAGTGGGGACACATCTACAGCAAATAAATACGGTGTCCCCTGGCTTCCATTGCAGCTCAATCTGACCAAAGAACTAAACTCTGGCAAGGAGATAAAAGCCAATATTTCCCCCTCTCCCTCATCCTCCTTCTTGATGTCTGGATGGGTAGATGAATGGGAAGTATGCAACTTCTGAATCATCCTTATAAGGCAGGGCTGAACTCTCTCACCCTCTTCTCTTTTTCACTGGGCAGAATGCTGACATACTGGTGCATCATCTTGGACCACACACAGGAAGTCAGTACCAAAGGGATAGTAGTAACACAGAAGCAACCTGGGTCTCTAATAACTTCATGGAGCTGTCATAGAGTTCAAGATTTAGCATGAGAGAGAAAGAAACTATGTTATTTGTGTCTGTCTCTACTGGTTGAACTTATAACTTAACTAATACATATGGCTAGAAATGGGACATTTGGATACTCTGGACCTTTATTTTTGTCCACTTGGGCTGCCATAACAATACCATGGACTAGGTGGTAAAACAATAGATATGTCCTTTTCACAGTTGTGGAGGCTGGGAAGTTGCAGGTCTAGGTGCAAGCTGATGGGTGTCCTGGGGAGGGGTTGCTTTCTGCCTTGTAGACAGCCACCTTCTCAATATGTCTTGTCTTCATGTGTCTCCTTTATGAGAAACAACTCCAGCTGGATCAGGGGTCCATCCTGTTTTTTCTTTCCTTACTGCAAATATAATCCCAGTTGAGTTAAGACTTGAATATATGAATGTGGGAGGACACAATGCAGTCCATAGCGACCTTCAAGACCTGCTAATTTTGTTTTCCCCCATCCTCTGCCACTCAGGTATGAAATAGCTTGATGATCATTGTCAAACTGAAATAGTTTTGTTTTCTCCTCCCAATTTCAAGTGTTTTATTCTAACAGGCACCACGACATTTTATGTCCTAGACTTTATTGTAAGAAGCGATTATTATTTTAGCCACCATTTATTGAGCTCCTCAATAAATGTGTTCTACTAAGCAGTCAACAAGCATGAGTATTGAATACCCAATATGCATCAATGATTAAGACCGCATTTCTGCCTTCTAGGAGTTTTAATTCTACTGGAAGCAGACATATAATAAACATGTAAACAATACTTAAAGTAAGATTAATTCAGAACTGATTGCTATGGTTTGGACAACAGTTTGCAAGTTCCCCAAAGGCTCAAGTGTTGGAGTGTGGTCTCCAAAGTCTTATGCTCATGCTTAATGGATTAGTGTTAGAGATTTGATCTAATTGTGGCCTCTAGCAGGTTCCAGTGGAGGTCTTTAGGGCATTGGGGCTTTCCCTAGGAAGGTAGCTCTCAAGAGAGGATTGGTTATTTAAGCAGAGTTCATCCCAACTGTTCTCCCTCTGCTTCCTGGCTCACCATGTGCTCCTCTGTCTGCTTGCATGCTGCCATGCATCTCCTAGATCAGACACCAGACCTGAAATAAACCTCCTTCCTTCAGAAGAGGCTCCTCTAAGGTATAACTAACTAATACACTGGTAGTGCTACAGAGAAAATATGGTAATTCAAAAGAGGCTGGCAAAGAGGGAACATTGTGGCTGGCGCCGCGGCTCACTAGGCTAACCCTCCGCCTGCGGTGCTGGCACACCAGGTTCTAGTCCCGGTCGGGGCACCGGATTCTGTCCCGGTTGCCCCTCTTCCAGGCCAGCTCTCTGCTGTGGCCCGGGAGTGCAGTGGAGGATGGCCCAAGTGCTTGGGCCCTGCACCTGCATGGGAGACCAGGATAAGCACATAGCTCCTGGCTTCGGATCAGCGGGATGCGCCAGCCATGGCGGCCATTGGAGGGTGAACCAGCGGCAAAAAAGAAGACCTTTCTCTCTGTCTCTCTCTCTCTCACTGTCCACTCTGCCTGTAAAAAAAAAAAAAAAAGGAACACTGTAAGCCTGGAGTCAGACTTCATGTTTATTATCTGTGTCCTTTGAGGCTATTATATCCTAGTGAAAATCTTTGACCAATTGATTCTATTCTGCTAAAGTAATGAATATGGTGGGTCTGATAGTATGATTAAGTAAGTGCTACACCACCTGCTCTGAGACTTACAAAGTTTTGTAGTTCTATCTTGATTTGGGCTTTATTTTTTCTCATGATGTCTGCATGTGAGGTTTCCCCTGCACTAGCAGAGAATGGAGCAGCATAACTGACTTATTTCACTTCTGCAGCAGCGTGAATGTGTCTTTAGGTATTGCAGCTGTTGGGTCACAGCATTTTTCTGCGCTTCACTCATTTTTCTATTAAGAGATATCAATCTGTAGGGGGCAATACATTTGTGAAAGGTGTATAAGACTGAATTCCAATGGGAAGTATGATTACGCTCCAGAAGTTATGGAAACTTACACTTTTTGGGAATGATAAAAGACACCTAGTTGGTTACAATCCAGTTTTTCAGACTAGAAGACATTTGGAAACAATATAAGTGTCACATTTCCTTTGTTGTTATTGTCACCATCATCAGTATTAGCATTTACAGAGGAGATTAAGGGAAATAAACCAATTTTCCCAAATCTACAGTTGATTCATTGCTTTTCCACTCAAAATGATATCCTATTTTTTCTAACATTATTACCCCTGCTCCTGTTAAATCTCTGTGTGTAATTCTAACACACTGATTTTAAACTTGATTGAATAGTACACTCTATATTGTGTCTTCACTGATGGAATTTGACCACTACGGCTTATGCCATTAAGCAAGTGCTGGTTTTGGTAATGTGTATTTGTGAAGACTCCTTTGGCTAGTCTCCCTCCCACCTGTGCGTCCGTGACAAGCACCTTGAGCCCAGGTGACCTGTGGATGCACATCTGGAATGACTTTTTACTGGGAGATGGCTTAGGGTTGCTTTCAGCCAGCTTCCATGTGGCTTCTCATCATGGCCACGTCTGAACCCAGAGCTTTCTTGCTTCAATGCTTTGACTTCGTCTTATCATGATTATTTTGAAATGGCAAATAAAAGTTAAAATTGTTATATTTCCAAATGGAAGTGGCAGCTGGATGGACTACAGGTTAAAATAGTTGAGTAACACAGGCTCAGGACCTTTCACCTCACCCTTCTTTATCTCTGAACTTCCTGTTTCATCAACTTGTCTCTCTGCTTTGGTCTGTTCTCTGCTGTTTCCTGCGCTGCTTTCCAAACACTCTCTTTAGCACCACTTTAAGCCTATCATTTATCTGTTTGAGAACTCAGTGACTTCTCATTGTCTGCAGTCTCCTGCCTGGGTCCCTTTATTGGTTTCCAAGGTAGTTGCTATGGTTTAGGAAGCCTGCTAGGCTGAGTAGCCCGGCTGGAGCTGGAACACTGCCATTTACCTGCCAGATAACCTTGAGCCTCAGATTCCTCACCTGTAACATGGTATTAAACAACCTCTCTGTGTCAAAGGGCATACAAAAGCCCTTTGATATCAAACACCAGACATATCCATCTTCTCTGTATGACACTTGCCAGGTAGGGATTATATCCTACCCTGATTTCAGTGCTAACCCTGCAAAGTATTGTGTGGCATAAAGATTATTCCCCAGCCCCTACCACCATCTCTCTCAGTACTATAAATAGGCAAGCTCCCATCTCACAGGGTTTCACACATTGTAGGTGCCCAGTCAAGATTTTATACAGACAAGAATAAATGAATGATTACAAATTATGTTGCAGGCAGCCCTTTTTATCCTCATATTATTTATTAAACATGGACTATGTGTCAGTCATTCTTTCCAGAGCATTTAAAAATGTACTTCAAAAAGTCTATGGACAGTAGAATTAAAATATGATTACTTTTGATGAAAAAAACGTTGAGAACCTTGCATCGTATTTTCACAATAAGTATTTTCGATGCATTTCTTGAAGACCTCTCATGTATCTGTTGTACCTAGCACAATGCATGGCATTTAACAGGTTCTCAAGAAACACTTGAAAGCTTGACTGGTCAGCTCATTGGAGGAGTGAAATGATGTTAGTGACAATAGGTGACATTGACCAGATGTTTATTATATTCCTGACCTTGGGCTAAATTCTTCATTTACATTGTTTTAACAACAATCTTGTGAGAAAAGAAACATGTATCTCATTTTACAGAGAGAAAATGGCAAGCACCTAGCTAGTTACATTGTGAGGTCTTTGTTCAAGCCAGATGTTCCCTGGTTCACATCCTCCATTACCTGGGACCTAAGCAAAAACAGTTCCTCCTACCATTCAATTAACAGCAAATAAACAAGTTACAAGGCAGTAAAGACGCTGGGTTTTTAAAAGAAACAGTTATTTACCTGCCAGAGTTAATTTTCCTTCATAGATAAGGTGTCTGTTGGTTGGTGACAAGATGTTTTCTGCCATGTGTTCTTTAAAAATGTGTTTCAGACACTTAAAAAACAAGGGAGAAAATAAGAGAGAAGTCATTGGTGATGGGAAGAGAACATGTTGCCGGAGGGAGCTGGGGCAATCAGCTCTGTCTAGACTTCAGAAATCCCAGGACATTTAGAAACAGCAGAACGTCAACATGCGGATGGGAAAGGATGGGAACAGCTCTCCAAAGGCCCAGCTTGAGGATGGCAAAGTGACATCAGCCTCCCCACGTGCAATGCCGGAAGACCAAGGCTTTATTTCTGGCTCATGAAATTAGATTTATTCTTCAAGTGGACAGTTCCTTAGATTGTTATATTTCCACCTGATTAACAAACTTTGGGAATGGGAGGGTATGAATCATAATCAAACCTTTTTATACCTCGGGAATGAAAAATCTTTTATCTCTATCCCAAAGTGGGGGCCACACTATGATCTCCTGCAGTTGTCTAAATTTTTGGTAATTGTCAAGCCACTTCACTTTTCCTTCAAGATCCCCTGAAAGACAAGACAGGGCCAACATATTTTTAGATGCATGTGACATTGCAGCATAAATTTTAATCACTCTCCAGAGCCATCATTTTTTTAAAAAAATACTAATTGTAATCTTTATTAACAAACTGAAGTGAAAGTGGAGATGTTGCTGATTTTTAGATAAATGTATCTTCACAACAAACTTTATGAGTGCAAAAGATCTTTTCGTTAAGATAGAGTATAAAAATGTTTAAAAGGTTACATTCCTTAATTTTTAGTGGGCTGTCTCCCATATTTTAATTTTATTTTTTAGAAAGCTTTTATTTAATAAATATAAATTTCATAGGTACAATTTTTGGAATATAGTGGTTCTAGCCCCCCCATACCCCACCCTCCCACCGCCACTCCCGTCCCACCTCCTACCCCCTCTCTCATCCCATTCTTAAGATACATTTTCAATTATCTTTATATACAGAAGATCAACTCTATTTTAAGTAATGATTTCAACAGTTGCACCCACACAGACACACAAAATATAAAGTACTGTTTGAAGACTAGTTTTACTGTTAATTCTCAGTACAACTCTTTAAGGACAGAGGTCCTACATGGGGAGCAAGTGCACAGTGACTCCTGTTGTTGATTTAACAATTGGCACTCTTATTTATGACATCAGTGATCACCTGAGGCTCTTGTCATGAGCTGCCAAGGCTATGGAAGCCTTTTGAGTTCACAAACTCCTACCTTATTTAGACAAGGCCGTAAGCAAAGTAAGAGTTCTCCTCCCTTCAGAGAAAGGTACCTCCTTTGATGGCCCATTCTTTCCACTGGGATCTCACTCACAGAGATCTTACATATAGGCTTTTTTTTTTTTTTTTTGCCACAGTGTCTTGGCTTTCCACGCCTGAAATGCACAGCCATCATTTTGAGACATTCACTGTCCCAAGAGCCAAACTATATTTTAGGTTCATTCAACATGTGAAAGTACTTTGAAAAGTTTGTGAAAAATGGAACTAAAAGATAGGTTTATTTTGGTGTAAACATTTTTTGAAAACCATGCATAAGTTTTTCATAATACACATTTTCCATGAACTCTTCCAAGACCCCTGTGTGGGTGGATTTCAAATTTGTTTGCACCAAACCAAAGTAACCTCATCTTTTAATTCCATTTTATTTGAACTGTTTGAGGTGCCCTTAAATTGCTTATTTAAAGTATCTTAACAATTCACTGATTTGAAATCAGAGCTGCAAAAATTAAGTCATCACAGGACTTGCACAATCCCCACCCCTTTGTTTTAGCTCTAGAGATTGTAGTTGGCACTATTTTTATATTCCTGAATTTCAGTGATTAAAAAAAATGAGAAGAGGGCATTTGGCACAACAGTTCAAATGCTGCTTGGACATCTACAGCCCATTTTAGAGTGCCCTGGTTTGAGTCCTGCTTCCACTTTTGATTCCAACTTCCTGCTAATGTGCACCCTGGGGGTGCTACAGATGATGGTTGAAGCATTTGGGTCCCTGCCACCCATGTGGGAGACCAAGATTGATTTCTGGGTTCCTGGCTTTGATCTGGTCCTGACTACTGCAGGCATTTGGGAATTGAACCAGTGTATAGAAGATTTTTTTTTTATGTCTCACTCTCTCATTGTCTCTGAACTCCTCCATTCCTGTCTTTCAAATAAAATGAAAACAAATAATTTAAAAATCATGAATGACAATTTATCCTCTGAATAGACCTTCCATACTGTTTGCTCCTATTTGCTTTGGGTGTGAGTTCACTATGTATGTTCCAGTGCCCTCAATCATCTGGGAAATAAAACTTTTCCTGCTGGAACTCACTTCTAAAACCATTGGGGACAGACATGTCCTGTGTAAACCTGGTGTTGGAGTTCTCTTAGGGTAAACCAGGATGTGACTTGGGTCTATTGTTTTGTGTGTGTTTGATTTACAATGCTCTCAAAGTAGAGTCCATGCTTCCAAGGGTCATGACCTCAAGTCAATGGAATTATTTTCTTGGGAGACCCAGATAATTTCCAGGAATCACAGGCCCACCAACTCTTTGATTATGCTCCTTCATCTCAAGGACTTACGGATTGACTTTTCCACTTTTTCTTTGATGGAGTAGATCATGATTTTCTCAGTAGGGTCTGTACTTCTCTTCCAGATGTTCTTCAGCAACAAGGGATATCGAGTCAGCCTGTGCAGTGGAGCGACTAGTAGCTCAGGCAGGTGCAGCCGTCTGCATTGTTCATTTTGCTCACACCACTGGGGGAGGCAAAGGTAGAACGTATCAGAATATAACCTCTGCAGTGATGGTACTGAGAAGCCTGTACACAAGAAGTTCTTGGAGACTTTATTCAGTAATAACAGGATGCACCTGTGAGCTTGTTGGGACAACTTACAAGCTGTAGGCTGGCCTTTAATTTTGAAAATTCCACATTAATCTGTCTTTATCAAGCATCTACCTACCTGGGCCAAATTCAGGGTCTGATATGGGATTCTTAGATGTGGTTAAGAAGTATTAAGGGAACTTCTTGAGATGGTTTACCTTCAAAAATAGTGATAAAGGCAGCAGTTATCAGCACCATCTATACCAAAGATCTTCAAAACGTTTATGGAAAAAAAAAAGAAAAAAAGTAAAAACACCAAAGGAAAAAAATTTCTTAATAAAAAATGAAAAAAAAAAACAAGAAAAAAGGAGAGAAAAAAGGAAAAGAAAAAATTTCATGGAAAATGTACATTATGAAAAATAATAAGACTCCACAGTATGCATGGATTTCAATTTTTTATGCCAAAATAAATTTATCTTTTAATTCTATTTTCTTTTTTTAAAAGATTATTGCATTTATTTTTATTTATTTATTTTTTTTGACAGGCAGAGTAGACAGTGAGAGAGAGAGAGAGAGACAGAGAGAAAGCTCTTCCTTCCGTTGGTTCACCCCTCAAATGGCTGCTACGGCCGGCGCTCTGCGCTGATCTGAAGCCAGATCCTTCTGGTCTCCCATGCGGGTGCAGGGCCCAAGCACTTGGGCCATCCTCCACTGCCTTCCCGGGACACAGCAGAGAGCTGGACTGGAAGAAGAGCAACTGGGACAGAATCCGGTGCCCCAACCGGGACTAGAACCCGGGGTGCCGGCCCCACAGGAGTGAGCTGTGGCGCTGGCCTTTTAATTCTATTTTCTTTTCTTTCTTCTTTCTTTTTCTTTTTTTTTTTTTTTTTTTTTTGACAGGCAGAGTGGACAGTGAGAGAAACAGAGAGAAAGGTCTTCCTTTTGCCGTTGGTTCACCCTCCAATGGCTGCTGCGGCTGGCGCGCTGCAGCCTGCGTACTGCGCTGATCCGAAGGCAGGAGCCAGGTGCTTCTCCTGGTCTCCCATGGGGTGCAGGGCTCAAGCACTTGGGCCATCCTCCACTGCACTCCCGGGCCACAGCAGAGAGCTAGCCTGGAAGAGGGGCAACCGGGACAGAATCCGGCGCCCCGACAGGGACTAGAACCTGGTGTGCCGGTGCCGCAAGGCGGAAGATTAGCCTAGTGAGCCGCGGTGCCAGCCTAATTCTATTTTCAACAAGCTTTTGTAGTACCCTTTTATAACACAGCTTATGCACAGTTAGGAGAACTCGGAATCAATATTGGAGGAGCACATAGGAAAAGCAGCTTACTGGGTCGATTCCTGGATGCTCCTTTGTAGGGAAGAAATGAAGTAATGATCAAAAATGAAGAGAAAGTGATAATGGAAGTTGTTGTGTGTGATACAGAGCAAAGAGGCACAGGAGAGTAATGAGCACATAGTTTTCAATAAGGAGAGTTTGGAGCTGGGGTTTGGAAAAAGAGGTAGTTTCAGGATGTGAAAGCCCTGGGGAAGACTGGAAAGGCATTTTGTAAGTAACACTATGGGATACACATTGGAGTTGCAGCAATGATACCTGAGAAACACAAGAAAACATGAGAATAGTTTTCATTTTTTTTTTTTTTAATTTGCTGGGATATTTTCCTTGAATGTGAGACTTCCTTAAACATAAGAGCCCCCTGTTTTATACAAGTGCTGCATAACACGTGGAGGTGAGCGCTGGGCTCTCTGCAGACAGGCACATCAGGAAGTGTTAGGAAGAGAAGTTCTCTTCCTCTTCTCTTACCCCGCCCACTCACACCCAATGGATCACAGGGTCAGCTCTCAAAGTATTGATAAGAACTGAAGGTTTGTGTTTCTTCACAATTCATATATCAAAATCCTAACCTCCAATTGGCTGGTACCAAGAGGTGTGACCATGGGAAGGTGATAGGTCACGGGATAGAGCCTTCACAAATCGGATTATCGCCTTTGTGAAGGCAACCTCAGGAAGCTATTAAGCTCTTTCTGCCATGTGAGGGCACTATGAAAAGGTGGCCAAATGCAACCCACAAAAGAGCCCTCGTCAGACTATGACCCTGCTGGCATCTGATCTCAGACGCCCAACCTCCAGAACTGTGAGAAGCAAATGTCCATTGTTTTGTAAACCACCCAGACTATGGTACTCTGTCACAGCAGCCAAATTGGTTATGACAAGGTCCTGCCCTTACCTTTGGTATTTCCCAGCTGCAGGCCAGTGAATCTTTTCTGCTTTCCATTTGCAGTCTAAATCCAGTTTATCTACTTTGTTTTGCCATCCTAAGGTAGACCAGACATACTGCGGGAGGCTCCTACTGTTTTCCCAAAGATGTCTATGCTCAAATGTCAACCCCAGGTTTTCTGAGATCAAGGTACAATTGCCTCAACCCCCCCACTTAGCCAATGGCCAGGGAAGTCCTAAACCCTCCTCTGGTTACTCACAAATTTGTAGAGGCTGATTCTAATGACTTCCTCTGTTTCTGTTTCCATATACAGACAGTCCTCAACTTACGATAGTTTGATTTGTGATATTTTAAATTTAATGTGATGCAAAACCTGTATACCTCAGAAGAAATTGTACTTTGAAACTTGATCTATTCCCAGACTAGTGATAACCAGCATGACCCTTTATCAGCAGCAGCAAGTTCAATGTCCAGGCAGTCCCACTATCTCTAGGGGAAGTAACCCACACTCCAGAGTGCTGTTTTGTGAAGCTAGGATGTCTGATGCATTGGGAGTGTTTTGGACTTAAGATATTTTCAACTTACAATGAGTTTACTTTGTCATAACCCCATTATAAATTGAACAGCCTCTCTGTAGTGTTTCTTCCTGAACAGCATGGGCCAATGCAACCCCACGACCAGTATCCTATGTTAGTTTCCACTGTAAACCTATTCAGACCAAGTGTTTTGCAAGAATATGGATTTATTTTCCTGAATTTAGGTAAGAGTAAAATCCCATCTCATAACCATCCTGTGATTTTTCTGGTTCTGATCTCTCTTTTAGAAAGAGAGAGCTCATTTGCCACTTTGTCCCACCCCTAGTGACAACTGACTGAACACCAAAAAGGAAACCTGTTGAAGTGAAATGGACACTATGAGAAACTGTGACTTGATCAGCATAGCCCTGTTAATGAACAACTCAATACATTATCCCTCTTAGTAGTTTTTTTTTGTCTGTTCTACTTACTATGACTGGTTTAATTCTGTAATTAATACACAGTTATTCTTAAGTGTTGAAATTTAACTGAAATGTGATCCCTGTTAAACATAAGAATGGGAATAAGAGAGGGAGGAGATGTATAATTTGGGACATGGCAAATGTCCTAACAGCACTCTGGCCTCAGAATCAGCCCTAAAGGCATTCGGATCTGGCTGAAAAGCCCATGAGAGTATTTCAGGGGTATGGAAAGCCAAGACACTCTGGCCAAAAAAAAAATAAATTACGATATATCAAAACCTAAATGAAAGATCTCTGTGAGTGAGATCCCAGTGGAAAGAACAGGTCTTCAAAGAAGGAGGTACCTTTCTCTGAAGGGAGGAGAGAACCTCCACTTTGACTATGACCTTGTCTAAACAAGATAAGAGTCGGAGAACTCAAGGGGCTTCCATAGCCTTGGAAACTCATGACTGGAGCATAGGGAGATTACTGATGCCATGAACAGGAGTGTCAATTTGTAAAGTCAACAGGAATCACTGTGCACTTACTCCTCATGTAGGATCTCTGTCCTTAATGTGCTGTTCATTGAGATTTAATGCTATAACGAGTACTCAAACAGTATATTTCACTTTGTGTTTCTATGGGGGTGCGAACTGTTGAAATCTTTACTTAATGTATACTAAACTGATCTTCTGTAAAAAAAAAAAAAAAAAAAGAAGAAATTATCAATTCCCAACTTGACTCTCACTGGGATTAAACATGACAATAGGTCTGATCTGATTTCATCATCATTTAAAAAATCATCTATTATTTTTCACTTTATGTTTCTGTGTGGGAGCAAACTGTTGAAATCTTTACTTAATATATGCTAAACTGATCTTCTGTATATAAAGAGAATTGAAAATGAATCCTCATGTGAATGGAAGGGGAGAGGGAGTGGGAAAGGGGAGGGATGCGGGTGGGAGAGACGATATGTGGGGGGAGCCATTGTAATCCATAAGCTGTACTTTGGAAATTTATATTCATTAAATAAAAGTTAAAAAAAAAACATGAGGGCACAAATAACTAAAAAAAATGTTATCTCAAAAATAAACAAAATTTTAAAAAAATTAAAAAAAGAGCCTTTGAAGGCAAGCCGGCCGTGAGGAAGGTTCTTCCCTCACCAGTTATAAAAGCCCCTGACAAGGGTCTAAAGGGACGCAGCCTTTCCATCCTTTCTGCTACGTGAAGACATGGCGTGCATGTCCTCTGGAGCACAGTGTGCAAGACACCATTTTGTAGGCAAAGACGGAGCTCTCACAAGACACTGAACCTGCTGGCACTTTGATCTTGGACTTCCCCAAAATAAACTTCTGTATTTGCTTTTTAAAAATGGTATTAAAAAAAAACTGCCCTTTTTTCTCCTAGTTTCCTGCTTGGTAATTTGTCCTTGTATTTCATAGCTCGACCATAACTTTGGGTGGGGGAATCAACCTCCCACATTAGGCACTTATCAAAACATTTCTTTCAAATATATGCAGGGCTCTTTTTCACAGAAATATTGCTGACTACACTCCTCCCCTCTCCCTTGCATCAACAAGGCAGGCCACAAAAGTGAGCACAAGATGCATGATGCATGGGGCTCCAGAAGCCAGGCGCCAGGACCCCATTCCCTTCTGTGAAGTGGTGGGGGCACTCAATGACCTCCATGTTCTCATCTGGCTCCAGATGCCTGTGGTTCTCATTGGGGTTGGGAGTGATGGGCCAGAAAGCAGGGGCTGCAGACGTGGAAAGGCTGGGAGTAGGAACAAGTGGAAAGAATGAGAGGGGAGCAGGGCTGTAGCTGTGTGCTGGTTTCCATGCTGACCTCCACTGCTACCTGCTGGTCTCCTGGGGCAGCTTGGGAAATCCAGCACCCGATCTCTCAGCAGCAGCTAGGGACTCCTTCAGAACACACAGTCCAGCCACTATAGCTACCACCTCGCATTGCAATGCTATGGAGAACCTGTTCTGGGTGCTGGCACCACTCCGATAGCCTTCAGGTTTTCATCAGATAAGAATCATCAACAGTGAATAATTTAGATAATCATTAAATTCAGATAATTAATAAATTATCCAGGCAAGGATATGGGAAGCTTTAAGGTTTTGGGAAGCCTCAGAAAAGAATGTTAACTGACAATTTTAAAAGTAAAGCTGTAAGTTTTTCTTTCATCTGTCTACTGGGTTTTTGGATCCATTATTTTTTCATGTGCATTAGGGAAGGCAAAGCATACCTTTATCATAAAAGGACATGAAATGTCTTTGCATTAATGGGTATAGATCAATGGAGGCTACTTTTGTTTTTAAGAATTAACCAACGTGTTTGGCGGAACAGAAAAAAGACCTAAGGGGCTCAAATAAAATTGTTTTAAGAAATCTCCATTGATATGGGATTTTCCATGATGACTTAAAAATGATGGCTGGACCTTTTTAAATTCATCTTTCTCCTACTTTGGAAATGACAGAAACGGACTGGGATTCTCTCCACTTTGGGAGCCCAGCCAAGAACCTATTCCCTCAGCATCAGGGTAAGACATTATCCAACATGATAATTCATACATATGTAAATCTAAAGAAATTTCAGTTTTAAAATCAGGCAGTAAAGAAAACATTGAAAGGTTGAAAAATAGGACCAAGTCTCTTCCTCAGGTTCATTCCTCTGTCCTCATCCAGGCTTCCTGGCCCATAGAGTCACAGCTAAGTCATCAGAGGGTGTGGCTGCCTCTTCTCCCAAGGCTCTGATACGATCCTCCAGCAGCTGCTAGTTTTCTGGAAAGACTTGGGCCATTTTCTCAGGATTATACAAAAGGGCCTGGCACAGGACTGAAGACATATGTCAGTCTCAGGAAATGTCAAAGGAGCTAGGGAAGTCAGAGAACACTCCTTCCAAATCTGCTTATTAGCAAATGCTGAAGCCCCCAAGGAAGTTCCTTGTTCCAGTGCTTTGGGACCCTGAGTGGCCACGCAGCACAATTCCCAGCGTAACACACACAGGACATTCTCTGCCCTACTCTCGGGGCACTGTTTGTATAGAGTGCAGTGTCAATGGTGCTCCAAGTTTTGTACAATAGGCTGTCACTGGGACCAAGTTGTACAAGAGCCAAACTTCTGGTTACAACAAATCTTAGATTCTTATTCTAGTTTTCTCCTTACAACACACCAGTTTCCACCACAAACCAAGCACTGAACAAATGAAGCATTTTTAAAGCCCCAGTCCAAATCTCAGCAGGGGCATCAGAGATAGTGTTTCCAAACAGGTACCATTTAAAAGTGCTAAGTGTGGGATGGTGTCATGGCATGGGTGGAGAAGCTGCTGCCTGCCATGCCAACATTCCTCACTGGAGCACCAGTTTGAGTCCTGGCTTACTTGGTTTCTGATCCAGCTCTTTAAAGCAAAAGCTCTCAAGTATGCAAGGAATGATGTATTTATGATGAAAGCAGATTTTTAGCTAAAATATATTGTTGGTTATTTATTTGTCTTATTTTCCATTTAATTTAGGTGTAAAAATGCCTAGTACCTGTTATACCTAAGGAATCTCAGGAAAAATATAAAAGAAAAAAGGTACTTTACCTTTAAATAAATTCCGAAGTCATCTCTCTGCCGCAGGCTCTCAAGATAAAAGATGGCAGCGGAGTAATTCAGGCAGTAGGTCTGGTGGCTCTGACAGAGGCTGCCTCGGAAATACTGCAAGAGAAGAGCAGAAGGAGAGTGCATGGGAGGGGCCGTTGCTGTGGCGCAGCGGGGGATGCCCTGATCTGAAGCGCTGGCATCTCATATGGGCGCCGGTTCAAGTCCCGGCTGCTCCACTTCTCATCCAGCTCTCTGCTATGGCCTGGGAAAGCAGTAGAAGATGGCCCAAGTCCTTGGGCCCCTGCACCCACATGGGAGATCCAGAAGAAGCTCCTGGTTCCTGGCTTTGGATTGGTGCAGTTCCAGCCAATGTGGCCAAGTGAAGAGTGAACCAGCGGATGGAAGACCTCTCTGTCTCTCTCCTCCCTCCTTCGCTCCTCCTCCCCTTGCCCCCATAACTCTGCCTTTCAAATAAATAAATATTTTTTAAAAAAACTTCTGTTTAGATGATCTTTTTGGGATAAATAAGCAAGGAGTTAGTTTAGGCAAGTCAGGCCTCCCGTACTGCTGCAATGTAATGCTGTCTCTATCAATTTGATACGCCCACCTTTCCAAGATGCACCTGTCACATCCGGGACCAGGGCGCACAGCCAATTGGGTGTCTGCCCCCTTCTTTATAAAAAGAGGTGGACCGCGGGAGTGAGTTCTCTTTTCTAAGTGGGCCTCGCCTGGAGTTCCTGCTATCGTTTTCACTCTTTCCACCGCGGAGTTTTCTCAGACAAACCGCTTTCTGCCGCGAGCCCAGACGGGCCTTTGCCGCTCTCCCACTCATGCTCTCAGAAGGCCCTTCACAGTTACAGGTACAGCTTGTGGGTTTTCTTCTCTCTGGTTTGTGAGCAATTCGTTGGCCCACTCAGGTTGGCTATTTCTCAGTGTGGGGCTGCCCACACTCACAGGTGAATTTGTTTTTTCCCTCTGCGGAATGAACTGTTCCTATTTGTACACGCATGCGCACACACATGCGCGCACAAAGGGAATTCTTGATTAAACTCACCTGCCTATTTCTGGCAATGCTTTATCGAGGCCTACACACCTGCATGGTACTTAATAACAAATCATCCTGTTTCCATGCCCAGCTTGGTGATGTTAAGCTTATATTGGTATTGACTTCTCTCCAAATGTTCCTCAAAATTATCTGTACATTTGATTCTGCTGGTTTCTAAAATGCAGACATTTGGAACTCCCCTGTGAAATGTGCTGAATTTGGTAGCATGTATTTTGTTTGGTAATCTTTCCCAGTCTACCATTGAACTCCATTTTCTTCATTATTCTTATTTAATGTCTTTAACTTGCTGTATGACTACACGCTTTTTAGCCACTTCAAATTCATTTGTAGGATTAGGCAGATTGTCAATGTTTGTACCTATATTCATTATGTATAAAGACCAAACTGAGCATATCACACAACACGCCTTTGTTGTAGGTAAATGACCTTGGGAATGACTGTTATTCTTTTTTCTTCAGCAATACTTTTGGAAAGAACTTTTAGGATTCCATGGTGTTTACTGTATTTTTTCTTTCTTTTAAGATTTATTTATTTGAAAGAGTTACAGAGAGGCAGAGAAAGAGAGGTCTTACATGGCTGGTTCGCTCCCCAAATGGCCACAACGGCTGGAGTTGTGCAGATCCAAAGCCAGGAACCAAGAGTTTCTTCTGGATCTCCCACACAGGTGTGGGCCCAAGGACTTGGACCATCTTCTACTGCTTTCCCAGGCCATAGCAGAGAGCTGAATCAGAAGCAGAGCAGCCAGGACTTGAACTGGCACCCATATGGGATGCTGGCGCTGCAGGCGGCAGCTTTACCCCCAACATCACAGCACCCGTTTACTGTGTTTCAAAATCTATGTAGCAACTGATAGACTTATTGACTAATGCAATGCATCGTGGTTCCCATTAAGGGATTTCCAATAATGTCATGTGTGGTGGAATCGGAGAAGGAAGACACGCTTGCTTATTATATAAAAAGTGGCAGTGAATAGAAGAAGTAGATCCAGCCTAAAAAGGCACTAAAGGAAGTGATGGTAATAAAACCACAGATAAGGGTGGAAATTGTGGCGAAGTGAGTTGAATTGCTGCTTGGGATACCCCACTGGAGTGCCTGAGATGGAGTCCCACCTCCACTTCCAATCTGGCTTCTTGCTAATGCACCTGCAAAGGTAGTGGAAGGTAGTCTGAGTTCTTGGGTCCCTGCCTCCCCATGAGAGATCCAGAAGAACTCCTGGTTTCAGCATGGCCTACCCTGGATGTTGTAGGGAGTGAATCAGCAGATGGAAGATCGATCTTTCTCTTTCCTCTCCTCAACCCCTTCTATCACTGTGATTCTTTCAAGTAAATACATATTTTTTTTAAAAAAGGGTATGTACCATCTGTGTTAAAAAAATAAAACTTGGAAAAATATTTTGTTATTGAGCCTCAGAGGACAAAATGCCATGGAGGACAATGTTAGGTTTTGGCATTAGATAACGGGTACAAAAGCACAGTCATGAGTTCTAATGCTCTATGTCATAGTGAAGTGACTATAGCTCACGGTAGCCCATTACATGTTCTGTAAACAAATAGAAGAGAGGAGCTTGAAGGCTCCAAAAACAGAAATAACAAAGAGTGGGAAATCTTCGTTTGGTTTGATCAATACCTATTAGGCATATGTGGAAATGTCATACTGTATGCCATAAAAATACAGTTATTGTTAAATTAACGAACCTGATTTTATCATCACCTATTGAATACATAAATTATCACACTGTACCACATAAACAGCAAAATTAAAATAATTTTTAAAAAATAAGTCATGAAAGATGATGATGTGGGTTGGTTTTTGAGAGGGAGTGTTAGCTGGCTGAGAAGACTCAGATGTAAGGGGCAGGTCTTCTTGCAGGGCACTGATAAGCTTGAGAAATGTCCTAAGTGCAAGGCAGCAGAGAAGAGGCTGAGACTGAGTTGTTAATGGTCAGGCTTAGAAATCCAGTTCTACCGCCCACCGCCCACTAGCTGTATGGCCAACACCAAGTTATCCGACCTTGCTAACTCTGTGTTTCCTTCTCAGGGGCCTCCTCAGTTGGCTCAGAAAAACACGCAACAGTTAACAGACTAAGGCTTCAGGTTTTCTCTTTTCTCCTTGTTTCACACGCAGAAATATTATCAAGGATGTTGATGGATTTGAAGGCTTATTTTGTTCCTTAATGAGAGTCTGGCATTTCTATTAGAATAACCGAACCTTGTAATTAGCATATACAAAACCACTGCTGTGAATATTGCTTTGAATTGAAGTCATTTAAAAAACAGACGTGGAGATGACTTTTCCAGGCACGTAGATTTTTGTGACAGGAGATGTGACAATGGGAAAGCAGAATCTGCATGCTATTTTTGAAAAAAATTGATTGGCAAGGAAAAGAATGGTTCCTTTATGGGAGGGTGGTGGTAGAACTTTCCCAGGCACACGTGTGTGCCACACACACAGCATCGTAGATATAAACAACTGTCCTGGGAGATGAGTGAATTTATCACAGGGAATTGAGATCTCCCAGAAGGAGTTTACCTTTGTGAGCACAGAAATGAAATCCACTGATGGTGAAGTCTCAGCAGCATCTAGATAGTCCTTCATGACGCCAAAAAGACCATTCACAAAACCCAGGCTTGTCTAGGGCCAGAGAAGAAGAAAACGAGTAGCTACACACCCGAGGTTAAGAAATAAAAATTTGATGAACTTCAAATATCCTTACAGATGTTTCCCAGTTTCAGTGTATCTCCTAGCAAAATTCAAAGATTGATTTTCCTCCACTCTCCTTTATGCTTTCTTGTAAATAAAATCTTGTTGCTATTCTCTGTCTTGAAGAACGATATTATGTATTCATAATATATGTAAGGAAAAAGAAATTTATAGGAAAATGAAATTGATGAAGATGATGGAGATCATAGAAATATGTTTACTTCTTAGCCATAGGAATATGAAAACTGAATGCTAACCAGTAAATGCAATCTGTTACAAAGATGTATTGCAAAGATGTCAATGGATGTCCAGACTTTTTGTTCGCCTGGACCCTTGGCCATAAGATCATGAGGGGATGGGATATGGAATATGACTTATGGAATATGGCATATAGGGCATAGACTAAACAGGAATGTTCATGATCCTCAGGGGGAATTGAAAACATGGCTTCTGGCATCTTTCTATTTTGGCTCACCTGAGTTAACTCCTCCAGGTTTGCAAAAAGTCTCCATAAATTCACATCCAGGAGATATTCATGAATTTGCAGATATTTTAGTGTATTCATAAAGATCTTAAACAAAAACAAATGTGCATTACTTTGTTTTTAAATTTTGAAACCTTTTATAAGAACATTAAATGTAAACCTGAATACAACTTTCCAAACCAATATAGAAATTACTGTTCTCAAATTTAAGTATTGTACTGAATACAGCCACATATAATGAAGCTTAGGCTTCACAGAAGAAATCAGAAATGTTGTTGTTTGTTATGTGGGTCATAAGAATATCCTCTTGAGCATAATCTGCTTAAATTGGCTTTCTCAGTCTCATAGTGCTAAGCAATCCCAGTGTCTTTTCTTGCCACAGCCCTAACTTGACAGCTAAACAACATTCATGTAGTATTCTCATTTATTCCCTCCTCTGTCAAAGACCCAGCTGTCCTTTGCTTTCAAGGAATTAAAAATTGATGTTGAGTATCTGACCACTAGTAAAATGTTTTGATTTGACTAAAGATACTTAATATTAAAAACATTATGAGTGTCTTTATGTTACTACTCAATTTGATGTTTTCACACAACATGGGAACCAAACAGCAAATCAAGAAAAAACTACAGTCCTCACCTACAGATCACCTGCCCCCCCCACCCTAATACACTGAAGAGAGATGGGGTTCTTAAAATAAGAAAGGTATTTATAATTCTTTGCATATATGAGGAAAGACATTCAAAGGGGCCAAGTGACCACTTATTTTAAGAATTTTATGAGTTTTAGATATGTAGCTTTCCTGTATTATTTCATTAGTGCAATGTTTCTTGAACTGGCATCCAAAGCACCTGGAGGTCTTGTTAGGCCAGAGCTTGCTGGGCCCCAACCCCAGAATTTCTGAGTCGATGCATGAAAATGTGCATTTCTCACAAGTTCTCAAGTATTTTTGATGCTGCTGTGTAGAGGCTGCATGTGGTAAAGCACGGACTTAGTTTCCCAAAGCCATATAGTGTTGGTTTTCTGGAAATCCATCAACAGCCAAGCATTTAACACTGCTCATTGTAGGAAACAGTGTTCATCAAATCATATCCATTTAGAAGAAATATATATATATATATTTGCTGTAAAACTCTTTGCTTTACAGAATTTTTTGCTATTAAAAATAGTCCTCCAGTATATTTATAAGTTCTCAATTTACAAACAGCTTTGGGGCATTCACATTAATTATGTAAAAGGAAATATACATTCACCTTAAATACACTGGAGTCTTTGAAAATAAACCCTAATTGGCCCTTTCTTAAACAGAAAATGCCAGTTTAAAAAACTTGGGCAGCTTACAGTAGAAGGGAATGTTCTATACTGTTCACTGGGATAAGGAAGCAGTGTAGTTCAGTGGTTAGTGCTATGCAGTGCTCATTTATTGGTTACCCTCTAACTTCAGTGCTCTCTCTCCATAACAGACCCCTAAGTTTCACTCTAGTATCTGCTCTTGCCATGCTGTGCAAGTGCTAAGAGACAAGATGACCTTATTCCCAGGGTGGGCTTGGTTGCCTTAAGACAATCAGCATGTCCACTTGTGTAGTACAAGTAGTCTGTCTGTTCAGGAATGGTCATGTGATGGAAGACAGGCCAATCAGAATGAATCTTAAGGCTTCTGGTATGAGTACTAGAATCTCAATCTCTCTCTCTCAGTTCAAGGACAGCAGCCACTTTGTGGCTACAACAGAAGCAGTCATAGGATGAGGCTAATATCATGGAAGGCAGGGATGGGAATTGGAAAGAGATTTTGTTTTAGGTTTTGAATCTCTTGATCAAGCCAACCTTGAATTCTCTTCCACCTCTGGGCTTTAGAGTCACGTGAGACATTAAAACCCTGCACTGTTTAAACTAGTTTTCTGTTACCTGGTCTTATAAGCATTCTAACTGATATAGTCCTTAAGTTTCAGTTTTCTCACAGATTGTCTCTGTAATTTAAATTTTTCTAAGTAAAATACGACTGACATTTGTATAGCAATTGATAAATTTCAGAGAAAAGCAATTTGATCATCCCAGTGAAATTAAGAGATAGCCAGAAATCCAACTGTCATCCGATTTTATAGCTGGAGATAGAGATTCTCAAACTAGCCTGTGGGCTAAATGTGGCCTGCCACTCATTTTTGTAAATGATATATTTTTTTTTTTTGACAGGCAGAGTGGACAGTGAGAGAGAGAGAGACAGAGAGAAAGGTCTTCCTTTGCCGTTGGTTCACCCTCCAATGGCCGCCGCGGTTGGCGCGCTGCGGCCGGCGCACCGCGCTGATCCGATGGCAGGAGCCAGGAGCCAGGTGCTTTTCCTGGTCTCCCATGGGGTGCAGGGCCCAAGCACCCGGGCCATCCTCCACTGCACTCCCTGGCCACAGCAGAGGGCTGGCCTGGAAGAGGGACAGAATCCGGAGCCCCTACCGGGACTAGAACCCGGTGTGCCGGCGCCGCTAGGCGGAGGATTAGCCTAGTGAGCCGCGGCGCCGGCCTCTGTAAATGATATTTAATTGTGGCACACTCATGCACATTCCTGTACGTATTATCTCTGGCTATATTTGCACTGCAGTAGAAGAATTGAGTAGTTGAAGCAATGACCATATGGCCTACAACGCCTCAAATCTTTCCTGTCTGGACCATTACAGAACACCAATCTCTGGTTTGGAATACAGAGGGCTAGATTTTCCTAAGGTCACATGGCAAGTCAGAGGCAGACCCAGGGCTGAAACTCGGGCCTCCCAACATAGTGCTTTTCAGCTGTGTATGATAGTAACCGGTACTCAAAACAATCTCGGGAGCCATGTGACTCATTCTTCCCTGTGGTCTTGGAAGGAAGCTCCTCCCTTCCTTCTCTTGTCCTATGATTCTTCTATTAGGAGTTCTCTTCTCTGAGCCTTATCAGATCAGGGCTGAAAGAATGTACAACCCCAAGGATGTCATTTATAGGAAAGGTATCATAAATATACCACTTGTAGATGGAAATGTCAGAAATCTATGACTGCAGCCCTGTGGCCAATCAAAAGAATTCACCTGGCAGCCAGAGTGCCAGAGAGGAAGGGACCAAAGATTGAATGGGCTGCCTTGGGGGTGGTTGTCAGCTGCCTGACTCCAGGAGTGTGTAAATACAGGTGAGAACTTGGCAGGAGGCATTGGGTCGTTGGATGGGAAGCCATGTTCATCCAATCTTGACAGGCTATGTTTAGCTAAAGAATAAATAAAAAACCAAGTAGTATATAAACAAAAATGAACAATCAATACAATTTTCTTTAAGGTCCCCCAAAAGAGGGGGAAATAAAATAATGAGGAAATCAAGTCCCCAAAAACCAAATATTTCCCAACTGCCACAAAAATTAAACCCAGCATTACCATCTTAAGGACTAATAAGTGGTCCAAGAAGTAAGTACATTCACTCGTGAATAATTCCCACACTGCCTCTTGCTGCTTTCTCGGGTCTAATTGATCATTAGGAAGATTCTGATGTGTTTCCATGACTTCATTCCAGGTCTTATCCTATAAATGGGGAGAAATAAAAAAACACAGCATTTCCACCCCACTGGGCTGAGTTGTTCACTGTTTCCTTTGGCTTGCAGTACAGCAGTCTATTTGCCTCTTCATGTTCTTGTTGTCTGTCTTTGAGGTACCTCCTTGAGCTACCCCAACCATAGCTTCCTTGCATGATTCTGGGCAACTAATTCTTCCTGATTTAAAGGATGAAGGGAGGCACAAAATATTTTTACTTTAAAATGGAAAGAAGTTTGAGTTGGTGGTATTTTAACTTATGCTTGAGATTTTCATGAGTTATTTTCAGTTTGCTGCAAGAAGAAAGCCTCAACAACCCCAAACTTGGGATTTGGAAGTCTGACTCTAGGTTCTCCTGGTAAGACTTGTTGAAATTAACTACTGAAGAGTCATAAAATAAGAGTTTTAGAACCCAAAGAGACCTTTAGAAATTTCCTTATCCAAAACAACTTAATTTTCAAATGAGGAAATTGAGGCACAGAGATAAATAATAGTAACAGCGTTGAGCAATCTACAAAGCTTCATGACCTACAAAGTGCTCTCGCATGATGAAATGACTTCTCCAGGTCTTGGCATTTACATCAGATTTGGCTCTGTCCTACCCAGCCCAGGGTTCCTCTCTTGCACTTTGCTGATATAATGAACTAGGCAATAATCTGAAAGCTTCATCATCATCATTAAAAAAAATGTAGAAAAAGAAAGGAAAAGAAAATGCCATGCAACACAGTAAACAACTATATTCCCTTATGAGATACCTTATAGCTGAAGAACTCATAGCCCCTGAAGTCTGTAATCGTCACAGAGGAGAGGCAGTTTTCCAGATCGGATATGTGCTTGTTTTTGTCTTTGCTCTGCTGAAAGGTGGTTAGAAAAAGGATTTTCAAAAATGAATTCTTTACAGACACAATTTTGATAACCTCATCTCTTCATTCTAACATTCATAAGAACAAACTGCACATTTTGTTTTTAAGGCACCAACAGTTCCAAAGCCAGCTATGAGTCTTAGCCTGACATATAGTGACCACAGAATGTCAGAGCTGGGGGAACAGAGGCCTGTGAGAATGTCAGGTACAAACCTCTATTTTACTAATGAAAAAAAGAAACTCAAGGCATGGAATGGTCACATAGAAAATAGTTAGACTCTAAGGTTAATGCCCATCCTTTTCAGAATTCTGGACCAAAGGACTTCTGCGTCCAAAGCTGCCTTCAGTGTACTCGTTTAACCCTTCATTTAGTAAATAAGTAAATAAAACCCAGAATATTAGTGGGACTTGCCTTACACAACTGTTCCCTGCTAAAGAATACCAGAATGTATTTGAAACTAGTTTCCTTAGGATAGAATCATCCACTTATTTTCTGAAACCTTCAGTATTAATGTTTGTCTTAAAATTTGATTACAAAGGTCATGCATGATTATTGGAGAAAATCTGATAAACAAAAATACAATGAAAATTAAAGCTACTCATAATCCTTACCCTTGGGTAACCATTACAAACATGTCTCAGATCATACTTATAATTGTGTTTGTTTATTTGAGGGGAAGAAAGCGTTCCTAGATGCCTGCAACAGCTGGAGTTGGGCTGGGACCAAAGTTGGGAGCCAGGAACTCAGTCCAGCTTTCCCTTCTGGGTGTCAGGAAGGCAAGAACTTGAGCTATTACAGCTGTTTTCCAAGGTCTGCCTTAGCATGAAGCTGGAATTGGAAGCTGGAGCTGGGAATAAAATTCAGGCACTTCAGTGTGTAATGAGAGTGTCTTAACCACAAGGCCAAATTCTGTGTCCCATAATTAATTTTCAAGTATTGTCATATTTACACACTTTTGTAACTTTCTTTTAAAACTTAACATAAAGATACTTAAAAAAGGTCATGGAAAATGGAAAAAAAATTGAAGTCCACGCTTAGTTTCTTCATAACACGCATTTTCCATGAACTGTCCTTGCATAACAGCCTTTTAAAAATTCATTTAGTATTCTTTTGCCACATCCTAAATTGTTAACTTTTTTTAAAGATTTATTCATTTGAAGGAGTTATAGCGGGGAAGGGGGCAGGGGGCAGGGAGGGAGGGATGGAGAAACAGAGGTCTTCCATCCTCTGGTTCACTCCCCAAATGGTCTCACTGGCTGGAACTGGGCAGATCCAAAGCCAGGAGCTTCATCAGGGTCTCCCACATGGGTGGCAGGGGCCCAGGAACTTGGGCCATCTTCTGCTTTCCCAGGTGCATTAGCAGGGAGCTGGATGGGAGGCAGAACAGCTGGGACATGAACCAGCACCCATGTGGGATGCTGCCCCTGTAGGCCATGGCCCAACCCATTGCGCCACAGTGCTGGCCCCAAATTGCTAACTGAAAGAGTTCATCTTACCACTGAAACCAGGAAGAGGCTATCAGACGACAGTGTGTAAGGCTTTCTACAGTCAACTTGGGTGCATTTCAGAGGAATGTTTATCACAAATAATTTTTCTATTCTATTGCCTGAAGTTGGTGTGGATCTAAATGGTTTGAGGGAAGTTAATCAACATTTTAATCAGCGAGAGAAGGCACAAGCTATCTGCTGCCTTCTGTATGTCTGAAAGGAGATCCTGTAATAGTTTTGGAATGTGCCAAGGGGCTGGGGTTAGTTTTTCTGGTGGAGTTAAGCACTGAAAGAGGAAGCCAATTATAGACTCATTAGCTTCCATAGTAGCAAAGGAATCTTGGAGCCAGTTGGGGTCCTCCTACAGCATTTGGGACATATGCTTCTTGTTGATATCTGAAACCATAGCAACTGCATGTTGTGGCAATAAAAACAGGGCCAATTGGCAAAGGAAGAAGCTGAGACAATGGGAGCAGCAATGGAATTGCGGGAAAGTGGGTGCCAGTCCTGGACTTTAAGGGCTCTCACTGTGGCTTGCCATGGGTTTGAACAACCTCTTGGCCAAATAGCTTAGTGGATATTTCACTGAAAACAGAAGAGAGTTTTCTCAGTGGTCACCTTAATTCTTTAGCATAACAGACCCATTTGGTGTGTTGTTGTTTGTACTCTGGTGGCATTGGTTAGGGGAGGTGATGAGAAGCATTTAAAGGGCATTTGAGAGGATATGGTATATAAAGGGAGAAACCAGGGTTCTGGAGTTGCAAGCTTAGCAATAAGAGGTAGGTGGAATGGAAATTTGAAGCAGGCACTGGTGACATGAACTGGAGTGAAATTGAAGGTTAAGGTTGAATGATTGGTAAAGGTATGACAGTGAATTGTGACAACAGACAAGATCTGAAAGGAAGGAGACAAGACCAGGTATGGATACAGGGACCCCCAAAGTTAAAGGGGTGATGTGATGTGGGGGCTAGAACAGACTTGGGGCCAGACTGCTGTTGTTTATGAGCTGTGTGACCTCAGACTGTTTGACTTCTCTGAATCCATTTTTTATTTACAAAATGGGGCTCATGGTGTTACCTACTTAGTTGGATGGTTGTGAAAATTTATGATCTCATGTGTGCTATTATGTACAAAAACAAAGGTACATGTAAACAGTGTCTGGTCATGTGTGAAAGGTATTATCTGCTGTTATTTACATTATTGATCATTGGAAAGGAAAGAGGGAAGAAAAGGAAAATGTAATAGATTGGGAAAATACATTACAACTAAAGTGTGTTAGTTTTATTGATGTAGATTATTATTTAGATAGATATGAATTAATTGATATATAAGGCAAAGAGGATGAAGGAAGTAGATGTATTGATTTTTCAAGGCACCAAATACTGTATTCTTGTTTTCACTTCAAGAAATTAAGTTCTTTTCATTGCTGACAGGATTTTATATTTGTGGAAACCTTTTGTGATTTCACTTCATATCATGGGTTCTACACCCATGAATTCAACCACTGTGGAGCACAAATATTTGAATTAAAAACCAGATTGCTTTCTTGTCATTATTCCCCCAAAATACAGTATAACAACGATTTATGGAACATCTACATTTTTACAATGATCGAGAGATGATGAAAAGAGCATATATGAAGAATAGGCACAGGTTAATGCAGATTCTGTGCTGTTTTACATAAGGAACTTAAGCATTCTCGAATTTTAGGATCCATGAGGAATTCTGGAATCAATCCCATTTAGTTACAGAGGGATGACTACTTATTCTTTCTTTGTGTTTCCACCACTGCCCCCCAACAGAGCACACACCATTTAGCACATCTTCCCAACCCCAGATTTATGCGTCAGTCTGATCTTATCAGTTGTGAGTTGGTAATGGGTGTCTTGGACCTTAGATATCTAGCTTGATTCTTTGGCCCAAGTTGCTTCTCTTTGTGGACAAGAAAGGTTTTCCTGACAACTTGAAGGATCATTCCTTCCTTAGCGAAGTCTTCCCCTTCTGAAAGTACATGCTAGCTTTCCTGCCCTTCCTTTAGGAAGGCTCGGAGGATGCGAAACTTCTCCTGGGTCTCACTGCTTGGTGACTGGCACAGCCTTTGTCTGCATGAGGAAGGAGCTCAGGAGAGATGATAGCCATGCACTCTGACTCAGACCTGCCAGGAAAATTACTGGGAAGCATTAGCCCTGGTGGTAATTGTGTTACAATTTTATTAACAATTTATCATTGGTAGCTTGTAATGTGTAGACCATGTTCCATGTAAATTGCTTTGTTTTGAAAAAAAAAATACACAAGTCACTCATACACTTGACTATGAGAACAGGTAGTTTTTCCAAATCTTAAACATATTACTACTTATAATATGGCCAATATTAACTGAGAGTGAGTTCCTAGCCTGTGGTAAGCTCCACGTGCATTTTGATTTATTCATCAGAGCCACCTCTGAGGCTGGTGCTATTTACCTTTTATAGGGAATGATCTGAAGCGGGGGGAGCTTATCATCTGGCCAAGGTCATAGAGCAGTAGGTGATGCAGTTGGGGTTAGAAACTCAGAGGCCTTTTAATTTAGTTACTGGACTTTAAAAAAAAAAAAAATCAAGGGTGTGTGTCTACAAAACTATTGCAGATGTCAACAGTAGATGACAAACTGATTTAGAGGCCCATGACAGATTTTTAACAGAACCAGGCACAATAACTATAAGGCCCTGCTTCTCACTGTGTGTCTGTGTTTGTGAAAACACAAAACCAGTCCCTTTCCTTCTCCAGAAAACAGGGCCGAGGATTCAGGTTGTGATCATGAACGTGCCCTCCGCCTACCACAGCACGTCAGAAGGAAAGGCTTGACGGGAGTCACCCTGTCCTAGGGATCAGGACTCAGGGATTGCTGATTTAGATTGGTAACTCTTCGATAATGGATCTAAACAAGAATGACTTAAAAAACGGACTCAGACTAATCCACCTGGCTTTCACAGAAGTAGAAGTGTATTTTTGTAATATCTTTCTGTAATATCTCATTAATTTTTCAATGCAGCCTATGTACATGGCATCTGCTGCAAGCTCAGACAGGCACTTTTGCAATTTACTTCATGCAGAGAGCTGTTGCCTAACCCATCTCAAGTTAAAAATCTAGTGTTGTAAGGCATCACTACACTAGAATTGCTTTGGAATTTTTTTAAAACATTTTTGCAGAATGCAGGAACAACTGGCAATTAGCTCTGTGTTGCTGCACAAAGCGGCACCATTTGGCATGTGCTACAGCCAAGACTGTGGATGGTGATTTACATTTCAGGTGCCATCTGCCTTTATGCAATGATAAGGCAGAATGAAGAGACTTTCAATCATATTTTCACTTTTTTTTTTTTTTTTTGCTGTAGGAGGCTGAGTTAAAACAAAAAAAAGACAATATATAACACTCACCAATCCTCTTTTGGAGAAAGGCCATCTTGGTTTTTTGGATTCTGGTGGGTGAATTTAAGGAAATATATTATTACAGAGTAATTAGTGACAGATCATTGCAGTGTTTTACAAAACCTTCCTTATGAAAATAAGCCAAACGGAATTCATCCTGCTTTAGTTCTCCTTCTCCTGAGAACGCACAGAATGAATATTTGTATTCTTGCAGATAAGTGAATGATGTAATGTTGCAACCTAAAAGTTGGTGTTCTATTGCTGCCTTAAAGTGGTAATGTCCTATTTCTTTATGATGGTATTGTTTAACCCCCTTTTCTCTGTCACTGGGGGGTGAAATCCATCAACTATAATAAAGAGGTTGGGTAATTCACTTAACACAGGATTCTAGGACTTTGTGGCTGAAGGGACTAACTTCATTTTACATGGCCTTACCATAAACCATCCTATCACAGGCAACCTCAGTAGCCTGGCCAGACATGAGACTTGGAGATTACATCAACCCAGTAATCCTCCGAAGTGGTTAAATAAAGATTTCTGAACTAGGGAACACCAACACATACCACCGATTTTTATGTTGGGGGCTGTTGTCACTAGAGGCCACCACCTAAATAGTCCTTAGGAGTTGTTTTGCATTAAGAAGGAAGTCATTATTTGGTCATGCATTCTTTTGGTGCCCAGAGATTAAAGAGATGACATTCTGACTTCTTGATTTTGTTGTTGTTTGTATCAATTTGAAATGATACCCACAAAACTCTGATAGTCATCTTTTGGGTTTACATCGGAATTTCTGACCTCTCAGTATTCAAAATGTTTTTCATATAGGTCTTTCTCTCCAATTCACCAGGAGACTGCATAACCCTTCAATCAGATGAAAGTGATGACCTGAACAGCCTTTACTGCTAATGATGTACTTGAGGGACTTTTCTCACTGTAATCTTAGACAGCACCTGCCAACTGACTACCCTTTCGCTCATTCTGACCTCCTTATTGATCTTTATAAAAAGGGATATTAAGTGGACTCTCCCTTGGAGATAAATCAGCTTCGCCATACTTAGCAATTAGCTTTGAAATGCCTGGTAGTAAATTGTTATATCCAGTTTGAATTGCAATAATTTGGGTCCTTGGCAAATTTCTCTCCTCTACTTTCTAAATTTAGGGATAATTTTGGAGCCTAGGGAAACTGAGGCAAGTATTCAGAAGAAGATTTAAATAAGGCCTTAGTGAATCTACAATCTTTCATTATCTGTCTTAAATATGAAGTTTTGAGGATTCAGAATCTATTTCCACCGTATGTGCAGGTGACTTACATCATGAATTTGGCACACAAGATCTCCATTCTGAATTCCTTAAAGAGGGCATGGAGGTGTAGGGTGCAGGACATTGCTTATGTTGTGGAATCTACCACAGTGTTAGGCATACAACTTCACAAAACAACTTCTGTGATCAACAAGCATTGCACAGCAAGTCGGACCTCACTCTTCAGTGTCTTGGTTCTTACGCTTCAGCTAGCACCTGAATCACCTGCATGGCTTGTTACAAAGCAAGACTGCAGGACTGCTGGTTACCATTCCTGGGCTCTCCGATTGAGAAGGTCCAGGGACAATTTCCAGAGACCGCATTTCTGACAGTTTCTCAGGTGACTCGGAAGCTGCTGGTTTGGGACTAGCCTTTGGGAACTGCTGCTCTAGTTGTTAGCTGGTTTAGAGCCTGTGAGAGGCGTCGTGAACCTCTATTAGCAGAACACTTGGTTTAAACTATTATTTCTAGGGATATGTCTTCAGCAGATGACTTAATCCCTCTTGGGCTATTCACTGGGTTGTTGTATCATATGAGACAATGGTGTTGATTTGGATTATTGCATTGTATAAGATAGCAGAGGGGAAAGGATCTATAAAGAATGAAGAGCAATATAGATGTTCATTATGGTTTATTTATGGGTGGTTTTGGCTTTGGGAATCCACATACAGAAGACCTTAGCTGTCTATCCAATGAATGATTGATGCAGGCTGTTGGAAAGGGTGTTGAGTCTGAGGTAAGGAGTTTAGATTCCCTTCCCCTGACATGAATCAGCTGCTACCATGATTAGGTCATTCTCCTTTTTGGTCTCTCTGCATGCATGTGAGTGAGAATGTGGTAGTTTGCAAACTGCTTTCAGGTGTTCCAGGCTCCTAGGGACACCTCAGACATGCTCTAGAACCCACTTCAGGTTAAAGCATTGATATCACCTGCATCTGTTTAATATGTTGCACTTCCAAGTAAGGGTTATTTTGTGAAAAAGGTTATGCTAGGAACAAAACCTGGTTAAAAAGAACCAATGTGGGCCGGCGCCGCGGCTCACTAGGCTAATCCTCCACCTTGCGGCACCGGCACACCGAGTTCTAGTCCCGGTCGGGGCGCCGGATTCTGTCCCGGTTGCCCCTCTTCCAGGCCAGCTCTCTGCTGTGGCCAGGGAGTGCAGTGGAGGATGGCCCAAGTGCTTGGGCCCTGCACCCCATGGGAGACCAGGAAAAGTACCTGGCTCCTGCCATCAGATCAGCGCGGTGTGCCGGCCGCGGCGGCCATTGGAGGGTGAACCAACGGCAAAAGGAAGACCTTTCTGTCTGTCCTCTCTCTCTCTCACTGTCCACTCTGCCTGTCAAAAAAAAAAAGAACCAATGTGGATGTTCTTTAAGTCTTTTTAGCTCTCAAAGGCTTTGATTTGCCTACTCTAGAATCATGAGGAAAGTACCCTAAACACCTCTGTTGTTCTTTTCTTTCACAACTGGGATGAAGATGCAGATTCTTACTCAAGTCTGTCTCTCTCCATCAGACACTAATCTGCCACTGGCTCTCTACTGCCACACGGTGCCTCTCTGGTTGGAAGACACCAGTGCAGGACTAAAGGCAGACGAGAGGTGTGGGGATAAGCCTTATAGCAATGATAGAGAAACTGGCACCAGCCTAGTGAAGGCACTGTGCTCTGAGGTGGCCATTGTCACTGGTGCACTTTTCCCAAGTCTTGGGCCTGGGATAAGTTACTTGACCAGAGAACATTTGAAGGAAGATCCATGCCTTACCCACCTGTATAAATATAATGCCCAGTACTAAGGGTGGTTATCACTTGGTTCCAGTAGTTCATGGTTGGTGCCTGTTCTAATCCATAAGTCTTTGGTTTTAACTGGTCATGGCATGTGTTCTGCTAGTTATTAAATATAGAAAATCTCCACCTGCTTATGACAATATCTGTCCCACGAGAGACATGTAATAAAAATAGGCTGGATGAACAGGACCTGAATTCAGCAGCAGAAGTGGGTGGCACAGGTAATCAGCAGCTCCATCTGACACCAGAAGGTCCCCAGGGAACACCTCGAGTCCAGGTAAGTTCAGCACCACAGAACTCCGCCTGTGCTCATAGAACCTGTGTGCAAGAGACAAAAGGTGAGGGCTTAGAGCTGGGTGCAGGCAGGTTCACCATTCAGAATGCCTGTGGTCACACGGAAGTGGCTGCTGGCCACCTGACGTCTGCCACGTCAGAAGGACTCAGGCCATTGCAGGCATCAGGCATGGGAAAGCTGTGATGACACCCAACAAATTTAGTGGCACCTCTTTGAGCCGCCTTGACCATTTATGACTTTGACTAATACAAAGCAGAAGAGTTCATCTAGAAAATCTAATTGTTCTGACGCAGGATACTAGGAGAAAGAGCTCAGATACAGAAATCTTTACAAATGATGCACTCGGACTCAGAAGTGAGCAGAATGTGTGAGAACAGCACCAGCACCCCTAGTGATCCAAGTTGGCTATTTAAAGTTGGTATTTTTATTTTTTCCCAGTAAAAAAAAATGAGAAATATTATTGGAAAATCTTAACAGAACTATGTACCTTCTCCTTTCTTCTACCCTGTTTCATGAAATTTCTTTTCTATTAGATATTCACACAACAAATGGCTGATTTATCAGATACAATGAAGAGCGTGTTCAAAGCCACTGAGCATTTCCCCAGTGATGTCACAGGAATAAAAATGGCAAGGGGTCTGTCATGCTGGGAACCCACCTGATAACATTGAATCATAGGGATTCCTTCCTACAGCTTCCGCATCAGAACTGTTCCTGTATTCTTTCTGGTCTATTCTAATGGATGGGAGATGCGATTCCTTCTATTATTGACCAATATAATCTCGAAATTCTCATTTCACCAACAAATAGTCTAGCATATCAGTTCATATAGGGAGGAATTTTGTCTTGATTTAGTAATAAAAACATCACTATGAAATTGCCTGGAAAGTTGAGAGCCTGGGTTTGCACACCTATTTCGATGTTAGGATTAGTTCATTGTCATGTAGCGCTGTCACCTCTCAAGTGGTCGTGCCTGAAACTCTATTAGTCTCCCTGATGCAGTCCTACCTCTGCTCCTTCTACTTGCCTACATCCTACTGCTGAAATCCTTCCAGGCTCTGTAGCCAAGTCCTGTGGCTGTGACATTCTACATAAATGTGGCCTTTCTGCCTGCACGTTTGTCTCTTGTTGCTTAATTGTACATTTTTGGAATCTCACGCCCTCTTTCTTGTCAATATGTTTGATATGAGGGTCCTGGTCATACCTGTCAGACCCATCATGCTGCTGACCTAACTCTGGTGCACATTAGCGTACCCTGTGGAATTTATTATGAATGCCCTGCCCCAAGTTCTATCCTCAGGATGCTAATACAGTAGGTCTGAGAGAGGCCTCTGCAGCTGTGATTTTGCTCAGTTTCCTAGATACCAGATTTACAGAACAATCAATTTAGATTAGTGACTTGGCATAGGTCTTTCCTGCCTTTTGGTTTTAAAGATTATTTCCAATTTTCAGCCTTTGGTTTAAGTAAAGTTATCTAGAAAAGTTTTTTATGAATAGAATAAATTGCTTAGGAATTTCTAATTAACCAATAACTTATATCCCACAAATTTCCATAAAATATGTGAAGTAAGAATGCCTTGGGCTGGCGCCGCAGCTCACTAGGCTAATCCTCTGCCTTGTGGCGCCGGCACACCGGGTTCTAGTCCCGGTCGGGGCGCCAGACTCTGTCCCGGTTGCCCCTCTTCCAGGCCAGTGTTCTGCTGTGGCCAGGGAGTGCAGTGGAGGATGGCCCAAGTGCTTGGGCCCTGCACCCCATGGAGACCAGGATAGGTACCTGGCTCCTGCCATCGGATCAGCGCGGTGCGCCGGCCGCGGTGGCCATTGGAGGGTGAACCAATGGCAAAGGAAGACCTTTCTCTCTGTCTCTCTCTCTTACTATCCACTCTGCCTTTTAAAAAATAAAAAATAAAAAAGATGCCTTGGACTCTACAGCTAATTAATTTTTATTTATAAAGGCTGCCTGTTCCAAGAAGTCTTCTAGATACTCCAAGAGGCCATTCCTTTTGTGTGTGCATTCCTCCAGCACCCCCTGAGAACAGGTCCTCAGCATCTTCTGTCTAAATGCAGTTGCCTCTTGTTTGTATTAATGCCCTCCTGCTCACAGTCACTAAGTGTGAGTCTTGCAAAAGTCAGGGTTCACGTTGTGATGCAGCAGGTTAAGCTGCCACCTGTGACACTGGCATCCATGTGGGCACTGGTTTGTGTCCCAGATGCACCACTTCCAATCCAGCTTCCTGCTAATGTGCCTGGGATAGCACAAGCGCTTGGTCTCTTGCCACCCGTGTGGGAAACCCAGATGAAGCTCCTGGCTTTGGACTGGCCCAGCCCTGTCTGTGCAACCATTGGGGGTGTAAACCAGTAGATGAAGATTCTCTCTGCGTATGTGTGACCTCCCTCCCTCTTCTTCTCCCCCTCCCCCTCCCCCTCCAACTATGCCTTTTAAAATAAGTAAATGGTCTTTAAAAAAAGGAAAAAGTAAGTCAAGGATTTAAAATAAAATTTGAGTTATGCAAAATTAAAGTCTGACCTGTCCCTGTGGCTTAAAATAATTCATTAGCTCTTCATCTTGTACCAAAGAAACACATTTTAAAACCATACACACAAACTCGCCATAATCTGGCCCCATATACCTTCCTGGTAATCCTTATTTTACAATTTCTTCTCCAGAAACAGGGAATGGGTTGTAATTCCCACACAAAGTGGCGTTTCATACCTCAGTGCCTTAGTTTGGAATTCTCTGTCCCCTCTGTCCCCTCCCCAGGCCTAACTCCTCATTTCATAAGATTCAGACCCATGGAGCAGCTGGGTTATATAGCGTAAAAGAGGAATACTTAAATATGTCTGGTCTCTCTCAGCTGTATCCAATTATCTATGTTTCCTGGGGTTCTGTGAGCTGTTTCACCTTTCCTTTCTCTCCTCTTTTCTCTTTTATTGGAAATCTAGGTTAATCTGGCAAACACTACCATTTGTCAACCCATTGTGCATGTTCTCCTTCCACTTGCTATCAAAGCTCTGCCTTGAGTGGTGGCAAGTGCTGGGTGAATACACTGACCTGCTCTGGGTCTCTTGCAGTTAGCAGAAGCTGTGTGAGTCAAACCTGGCCAATAAGACTTGGATGCTGCTGGGTGTTACTTCTAAGAAAACATTTTCAAAGGCTACAGACTTGGCTAACTTCTTTGGTTTATTTACCTTTTGCCTTTTCATTGCCTTCTTGCTGTTTGGAATGTGACTTGAAATCTGAACGTATCCCAGCAGTCTTGCAAACATAGTAGCAGTACTTGAAAAAAAGAACCTGGTGTACTGTTATAAAAGAAACACTCTTCATTTACTTAAGCCATTTTAGTTACTATCTGTGACATACAGACAGATGCTACCCTAATTGATACAAGTATCTCCATCCTGATCTTCCTTGTTCAAGAATGAAGCCATCTTTTGATGTTCTGCACTCCTGTTTGACTTTTTCACCATCCAGTTTTTAATTAGATTTTATAATAAGATCATTGTAGTTTCAACTTGTTACAACTTTCCCCTTTTCATCTTCCAACCTCATATCCATGGTGGTGATGAGGATGGAAGGGGGCAGAATTAGATGGGCATTGGAAAAATTACTCTAATTTTAATAAGGTGTATAATTCTAGCTGTATCCTAGTGGTATTCAGGATACTGGGGCTGACAAATAATGGATTAGAAGTTTTCAAATCCAGTTGGGGATTTTCAAGTTATTATAGAATATAAAATTTTGGGAGTCTACAGGGAGACCCTTGCAGAGAAACAATAGAGCTTCTTTATCAAGTTTATACTTGTCTTTATAAAGGTCCTGGAAGCAAATAATGTGATTTGGTATTTATGGGGAATAGATGGACTGAGTCTTTTGGGAATTGAAAAAATTACAAAAATAGAAATAAAAATGTAACCTAGGTGAATTTGGTGGTGGTGGGGGTTTACTCTTGAGCCTGAACTCTGGATGTTACACAATCTGGTAACATGAGGTTGACATTTTCCTAAGATTCCATAAACTGCCTTTATATTCCTTGGAGACTTCAGAGAGCACATAAGTGTTACAAGGGTAGAACAATTAGTTTCGCCACCCCTCTAGACCCACACTTGTGCTTCTCTTCCAGAAGCCTCCAGTTCTCCGCATTGCTGGTTAGGAATGTGGGTCAAATGGCCTGGATTTTTACCTTGGCTGTGTATCCTTGCTTGAGCAAGTAGCTTCTCTTGCTCTTTATCATTGGTGAAATGTGGACAGTAGTAATATTGTGTGAGGATGGACTAAAATGACCAATATAAAGCACTTAGATCAATGCTTGAAACTTAGTAAGCAGTCAACAAATGCTATTATGTTAATGCTTGAATGTATTACAGTATGTTCTATTTATATCCTTGTATATTTCATTACATTGTCAGCTTTCAAGCACAAAAACCATGCCTTATCCTCATTTGTATTGGTAGGTGTGCTGATTTAAGATGTAGTCCATTGTTGCTGATGAACACAAATAATGGAATAATCCTCTGATGTTGTCTTCTCACGTGAAAGTGTCTTACTGTATATGATTTTTGTAGATTCACATCTTATTTCCCATATTACCCTAAGCACCTAGCTCCTAGTCTAAGTCTCCATTTGGTGGGGTTCAGCAGACAGTTGTTAAACAAATGAGACAATGACCAAACCTGCACACATGCAGAGTGATTGCTGTGATTTCCCAACACACAGTCCTGCAGAATGGGTGCTCCAGGGATAGCTGCTGCATGCTATTCTTTCAACATAGTCTGCACTTCACACCTCCGTGCTTTGCCTCCGAAGATTCCCATCTGCCTGCCTCTCTCCTCTGTGTTTGGCCAACTCTTAGTCATCTCTAAATTCCATTTTTCAAATTCTTCCTCCAGAATTCCTCTGATTGACTCAGGGAGGGTCAACCCTCTCTGTCTCTCTCCCCTTTCCTCCCTACCCACTTCTTGTCTTTTTATGCTAATGATTTCATTGAAAAATCATATTAGCTCCTTTATATCACAGAAGCTAATC